ACCACTTTGGATTTCATTTTTTGCTTCTGGTGTATTCTGAAATCTCTCCAATATAGCAACTGAATCCCATAATGTTTGGGTTAGATGTTGCCTCTCTTGATCCATCTTTTCAATTCTCTTATCAGAATCATCAACCTTGTTTTTCACTTCTTGTATCTTTTGTTCATTTTGTTTTATTTTAATACAGGAACCTGCAAGTTGATTCATTATCTTCAAGACATGACTATCCAATTTATCCAGCCTTTCCTTTTGTTCCAAAGCAAATTCTTGTATAGCATTTTGCATAGACTCTTGAGATGCTTGCATTGCCAAAGTGTCATTTGTACATCTTTTTGAGATTTTCCCAAATCCAGTTTTTAACTGATGTGTTGGGCTTTGGGAAGCAGACATAGGTGCCAAAGATGATGGGTGAATTTTTTCTAAGATGAAAGTGAAAAGTTTAATTGAAGCAATTTTTAAATAACCTGTTGTGGTACTAAATGGCCACTAAATAACAGCAAAGAATCACAAAGAGAGGAAAAAAAGAAAAAAAATTGGCAAACAATGTATCTGTTAAAGGATAAAATGACCACAGGGTGGCAGCAAAAGGTTATTTGTTGCAGAAACTGGAACAATCAAATCACCATATCGAAAGAGATACAGAAATGAAACAGAAAGAGGACTTTTTCTACCAATTAATATACAATAAGTTCAAATTTAATTCTTTGCTCTGGAGGAGATTAAACATAAAACAAATCTCTTCCAAGTCCCAAATTTCCCCAGGTTCACTTAATCTCCCCTAGATTTGTCCCGCTTGAGCTCCACAGGGAGAAGTTTCCTCCCTCGTCAAGAGGGCCTTTCTTTTGTTATTCAGATTGATAGTTATTTCACAGGTTCCTTCACGGGCAGTACTTTGAATGTTCACCCAGAAGGTCCGATGCCCACTTTTAAGCTTCTTTTTTTTCTTCGCTACTAATCCGGTGCCAGCAGCTTGTGGCGGGGGGGTGCACCCCTCTCTCTCCGTTCACTGAAAATTTCCCCAAATTTCTCCCAGCGGGTGGGGAACCACCGTCCCCCACTAGGCAGAAGTATGCTCTGGCTTCTAATCCCTGCCCCGACAGGGCTTGGATGGGCCTCCCAGGGGCCTCTGTAGAACAGATTTCAACTTGAAGTAAGGAATCCCCGTTCTCCACAGCCGTCTCGCCGCGACATCAACTAGAAGTCCATGTCATCTTTTTATGTCTTCTTATAATTCTTCCATAGAAGGGATTTCACATTCTTTTTATTTTGACCTGGTCAGACAGTATGTTTCCCTCTTGGTCCTTCAGCAGTCCTAATCTAGGGTTGAATTTCCCTTTGATTTCTTGGCTCTTCCAGAAGAGGCCTCTTGTTTTTCCTCTTGCAAATTAGCAAAAACTGGACTAGGTGAAAAAACTATTTGGTGGAACCAACATTGGCTGCTAAATCAGACACAAAGAGCGCTCACCAACGGCAGTTTCTCACTGGAGAAGAGTCTAATGCTGGAAACAATAGATGGCAACAGAAGAAGGGGACGGCAGAAGATGAGGCGGCTGGATGGGGTCACTGAAGCAGTCGGTGTGAGCTTGAGTGGACTCTGGGGGATGGCGGAGGACAGGAAGGCCTGGAGGAGTGTTGTCCATGGGGTTGCAATGGGTCGGATGCGACTTCGCGACTAGCAACAACTAGTGGGGTGCCACAGGGTTCAGTCTTGGGCCCAGTGCTCTTCAACATCTTTATTAATGATTTAGATCAGGGGTCCTCAAACTTTTTAAACAGAGGGCCAGTTCACTGTCCCTCAGACTGTTGGGGGGGTGGACTATAGTTTGAAAAAAAATATGAACTAATTCCTATGCACACTGCACATTAAAAATTAATTGAAATTAATTTAAAATTAATTAAACATAAAAACTTATTTTAAACATTAAAAAATGTTTGCTCTGCTCCCTTGGGCTGCAGCAGAAGCCCAAGATGAGGTGGGAAAGAGCACGTCCATATTCAAGGGACAGAGCTGCAACACAGCCAAGGCACTAAATAGAGTATTTTGCATAATGCAGCTGATGACTGCAACTGGCATTTACAAAGAATGAAGCAAAAATACTAAGGATAAATACTGTTAATGCCACTCTTAGTATTTGAAGCAAGCCAGCGCAGAACAATTCCCACAATACACAATGGCTGTATTTGGATGCAGAGCTAATGACTACCATATTTTAAGTGCAACCTTGCCAAAACTGGTAGTGTCCAGATGAGTTGAACTACAACTTCCATTGGCCATGCCGGTTGGGCATGATAGAAATTATAGTTCTCGCTGCCGGCCTGGTTCCGAAGGAGCAGGAGCGGGAGGCCAGAGGGGCGAGCGCAGGGAGGCTCCGAGCTCAGGACTTCTTTCTGAGGGGAGGGGAGGGGAGGGACGGGACTGCGGCTGGCCAAGCAGAGCGCCTCCCACCTCTCCCTGCCAGGGGGGGGGGGGGGAGCATGGCAGCCGCTTGATGGTGGCGACTTGCCCATAGAAGACTGTGGCTCCTGCACCTCTGCCGTGACCTTCTATGAGCAAGCTGCAGTCGCCTCACTGAGCCCAGCAGCACCCAGCCCACAGCCCAGGGACATGGCTCACATACTTAAAAATGGATTTAAAAAGTTATATTTTTCTTACCTTCAATCCTTTTTTAGTGTCTTTGTCTCTCCCTCCCTTCCGCTCTTCTCTCTTCTGTTTCCCGCTCCGTATTCCCACTCTGAATAGGCATGCAGTGGGAGGGAAATGCTGGCGCACACACAGTTGAGCTGTTACAATTTGGCACATGCACCGGCTCTCTGCTCAGTTTTAAAGAACACCTGCGCCAGCTCAGAGCTTTTGGACTCACTCAGAGATCGTTTTCTTTGAGCAAGTCCAAAAGCTCTGAGGTGGGCCGGATAAATGAGCATGGCAGGCCGTATCTGGCCTGCGGGCCATAGTTTAAGGATCCTTGATTTAGATGAAGGAGTACAAGGAAAAATAATCAAATTTGCAGATGATATGAAACTAGGTGGAACAGCAAACACTCTAGAAGACTGAATGAAAATTCAGGGCAATCTTGATCAACTTGAACACTGGGCTGAAAGCAACAGAATGAGATTCAATAAGAACAAATGCCAAGTCCTTCACCTAGGAAAAAGAAACCAAAGGCATCAATACAAGATCAGGAATATGTGGCTCAACAGAACAGAAAAAGATCTCAGAGTAAGTGTGGATAACAGACGATAAATATGAGTCAATAATGCAATGCAGATGCCAAAAGGGCAAGTGCTATTTTGGGATGCATTAACAGAAGTATTCCAAATCATGAGTAGTGGTTCCTCTATACTCCTTACTAGTCAGACCTCATCTGGAATACTGTGTCCAGTTCTGGGCACCAAATTTAAGAAAGATGCAGAAACAGTCCAGAGGAGGGCAACCAAAATGATCCAGGGTTTGGAAACACTGCCCTATGAGGAGAGACTGAGAGAACTTGGCATGTTCACCCTTGAGAAGACTGAGGGGGGACGTGATATCCCTCTGTAAGTACCTCAAAAGCTGTCACAAGGAGGAAGGTCAAGATCTCTTCTCACTGATACCAGAGTGTAGGACATGGAATGATCAAGTCAAGCTGCGGCAACCCAGGTTCAGGCTAGACATCAGGAAAAGCTTCCTCATTGTCAGAGCAATACAGCAGTGGAATCAGCTGCCTAGAGAGGTGGTGGGCTCTCTCACACTGGAGACATTCAGAAAGAAACTGGACAGTCATTTGAGTGGGATAGTGTGACTTGGGTGTCCTGCAACAGCAGGGGGTTGGACCCATGGCCCCTTCCAGCTCTACTATTCTATGATTCTGAGTTCAGTAATGCAAATCTGTTCTTCATAGGAACTTTAAACTTCTCTGGCATGTTATTTAAACTGTATTTTGGCACTATGCTTTTTCTACTGATTGTTTCAGCTTCACTCTAATTCTTCATGGCCATTGCCACAATCTGCTCCTTGTCCTGTTTTGGCAGTGAGAATATGTCTTCTCTGCCACATGTGTGCAATTGTTTTGTGTAATTGATTTCTGCACTGGCCACCAAGTGATTTTTTTTTCATTCTGTCATCATGGTAGAAGCCAAACTGCACATCCAACACAGCTGACTGAGAAATTCAGACCAAGGAAAGAAGGGGCTTCTTCACGCAATCCACGCAAACTGACACAAGATGCAGCAGAGACCACCAGCTTTGAAAGGGCTATTGGACAAATACATGGAGAATTTTAAGGCTATTGGTGGCTAGTAGTTGATGGAGTTACACTTCTTCCCTTCTCAGGTGTTACGTACACCAGTTGCTGCAGAACATGCGTGGGAAGCTGTTGGCCCATTCTTGTACTGACTTCGGGTTTTCTAGGCATAGTTTGTTGACCACAGCACGAACAGTAAGCCGGACTAACCAGATCCTTGGACTGATCCAGTACTAGGGCTCTTATGTTCTTATGAATGCGGCTTACTAAGCAAGCACGCACTTGCGTTGGAAGGAACAGCCCAGCCTTTAGTCTTTCCTGCTAGCTTTTCAGGGATAGGGGCAGGGATCATGCCCAACGTCCCAAAGATCAAATAATACACGCGCGCGCGGTCTCGGGCCCGGTCTTGTACGGACTCTTCCATCCGTGAAGGGAATTCTGCGCAGGGCAGCCGAGTTCGCCAGAGGCGCGGGGGCAGCAGCTCGTGCGCCCACCACCAGCTCATCCACCGGGGACCGGCGCAACGGATATCCTCAGAGCCCCGTGCCCCATCTCGGCCAGCGCTCGGAGACAGCAGCGAAGCGCGGCAGGCGGCCGAAGGAAAGCCCTGCGGCGCCCCCAGCGAAACGCCCCTTTCCGCACTGACTTCCGTCCCGGCCCAGGAAAACACGGTCTACAAGCCGGAAGTGGCTCGTATGAGTCAGTCTAGCCCGAAGTCTATGGTCTACGGGTGTTGGCCGCCCGCCGGCCGGCCCCCGCTCCGGCTCGCGTCGGCGGGCGCTCTAGCCCGCAGTCTTTGTGCGGGCGAAGGGCGGTTGCTAGGCTGCGCGCGTGGCCTAGTAGGCCGCAGGGGCGGCGCGGCTCGCCAGCCCGGCGGAGCGGAGCGGAGCGGAGCGAGCGGCGTCATGGCGGCTTCCCCGCTGTCGGAGTCGCGCGGCTCGGATGGGCCGTGCAGCTGCGTGCTGTGCTGCGGCGAGCTGGAGGTGGTGGCGCTGGGCCGCTGCGAGCACCCCATCTGCTACCGCTGCTCCGTGCGGATGCGGGCGCTATGCGGGGTGCGCTACTGTGCCGTCTGCCGGGAGGAGCTCGCCCAGGTGAGCGGCGCCGAGCCGCAGGCCTCGCTCCGGGGCGCGGCGATCGCATCGTGTTCCCCGGCTCGGCTGTTCCGCTCGCCCCCGTCCCGGCGCTTGCGAGGCGCCCCGCCTGCCGGCGCCGCCACGCTCTTCCGGGAGCAGCCGCCGTGTCTCGCCGACGGAGCCCCGGGCCGAGTGGCCCCTCCGCCATTTCACCGCACGGCAACTTTGCCGGCCAGGCCTGGGCGCAGCGGGCTGGCCCTGAACTGCTTTGCGGCCGCGTGGGGGTGGACGCTGTGCCTTTGGGCTTGGAGGGGAGGGCGCACTGGGTCGGAAGGCCTGCTCGCAAGCCCCTGCGCGTGGGCGCGCAGCCTCCGAGTCCGGGCAGCCGTGGGGGGCATGCGGGAGAGGGACTCCGGGCAGGAAATTTTCCCGCAGTTCCCAGCATACCCAGCCATGCTGCCTAGGGCATGCTGGGAAATGTAGGACCTTATTTTGCTGGCTAAGCATGACCCGGCTCGTACCCTTGGGGGGCCTCTGTTTCTGGGTGACCTAGGCAGCCAGCAATGGGTGGGACCTGTTGGTGACCTTCCTGGGGAAAAAGAAAATTGAGGGGAGGGAGTGGCTTCTTTTATATCCAGGAAGGAACCGGGGTCATGGTGGTTCGCCCTGATAGCTGTATGTGAACCCCAGCTGCTCAGGTGCACTCTGTGTTTATGTACCGGTTTCTGTAGGTGGGGAGGAGTCTGCAATTGCGTTTTCTGGAAACTGGCCACAGACCAGAACGGATGAAAATGAGTGATTTTGGATATCGAAACATCTGACTTAAAAAAAAAATCAGCTTTTGTTATCTTTATTTTAAGTCAAGCTTACTTCTTGGAAAATGGGCATAGGCATGTAGCCTCAGTCTCAAAAATTAGTTAGGGTACAACCCTATTGAAGTTTAAACAGAAAAAAAATGCTACAAGCTAGACTGGAGAAGACTGTAGGTTGTAGGATGTTTGTTTAGCGGCTTCATTCAGTCAAATAGGGCATTCCTTTTAGATTTCCATTCATTCTAACCATAGCATACGAATCATGTATACTTTGTCAAATATTTTTCCTTCATTGGCTTGAAGCAAGAAACAATAGAGGGCAGTTATTTCAGTAAGGTAGGCTATTTGTTATACATGCAGAGGTAGAGGTGTGGACTCACCCTGATTGCTTATTCAACACCTTTTCATTCAAGACAAACCTCTCTGTGCAGTAAAACCTGTTTTTTCCCCCTTATGCTTGTGATAATGCTTATTTGGGGATATAATGAGTCTGTGATGGAGCCTTGATGCATTGCTTGCTGATGGAAGTGGAGCTGGGGCAATGATCCCAAGCTCCTGGGTACCCAAAGTAGAAATTTGTGTTGCCCTAGGACTTACCTGAATGTCTCTAATGGACCTCAGCAGTGCCAGGTGTCAGCTTTTGGTCCGTTAAAGAGAGCCAGTGTGGAGGGGAGGTTAGAATGTTGGAGTGGGCACCTGGGTTCCAGTGCTTGGTGCAGCATGCGGGTGACTTGTGGCCAGTCGTTCCCCCTCAGCTGAACTGACCTCACAGGGTTGCATGAGGGTGCAGTGGCACCCAGGTGAGCTGCTTTGGGTGCCACAGAAGAGGAAAAATAGTGGTGTTGCAATGCAAGCTAATCAGCACCATCAGGGCTGAATATTGGCACAGTTTGAATAAAGAATTCGATTGGTTTCTTCTTCTAATATGATTTAGAGCAAGGATGAGGAATCTGCCATCCCTGGAGGCTTTTGCATGGCTGCTAACATTTTATTTATTTATTTAGAAAATTTCTATGCTGCCCCATTCGCCGAAGCCTCGGGGCGGCTCACAACTTAAATAAATAATTTCAATTTAAATAATATACGTTAACAGTATAAAATAAGTCACCCTGGCCAAAGAATAAAATAAACAAGTGACGTCAGTGCTCTTCAGGTGGAACACAATGTTTATTTGAAGAATAAAGTCCAATGAGATACGTTATTGTATTCCCTTTCTGAGAATCAGATCCTCAGTACAAAAGATACCGGCATGGCAAGACATTTTGATATTATTTAACAGGTTGCGAGGAAGTCCGAGCTGAGAGAGAGGCCTGGCTCACATATAATGCTAACCCATGGTTTACTTAACCCCTGGATTCTTGAATTCTGAGTTAGCTGCACTAACAAGCCCAACTCTTTCCTAGAGGAGCTTGTGCATTGCCTTTGCTGTACTCTGGTCAAGCTCACCCTGTGAGATTGCATGCCCTAGTCTGTGTTCCTCCGTCTTCTTTGTACTGCAGTGTTGTGCCGTGCGTGCATGTTGGAAGGGCAGCTCTTATCATTTCTCCCCAGGCTGTCAGGAAAGAGTGTCAGTGACAGGTTCTGTGTCTTTCAGAGTATGAGCCTGTCCCGCCCCAGAGTGGCTCTGCCAGGCTGGTCCTGTCCCCAGATCAGCCTTGCTTGCTCTGGCTTCTCTCCGCTGTCGTTTACCATGGCGTGGTGGAGGGCCGGTGGTGCTGCTTTTCTAGGGTATTCCCAACTCCACTCATCAGCCCTGCTTGTCCAGTCAGTCTCCCATCAGACTTTTCCATCAGGAAAGGCTGGAACAGGGGTGTGCTGCCTGGTGCTGGGCCAACCCCAAAACAGAAACCCTTGAACATAGGAAGCTGTTTTAGTCAAGTGAGATCTCCTGGCATGCCTGGCCCAGCCTTGTCTGACCAGCTACAGTTCTCCAGAATGTTTTGGACTGATGGTTGAATCCCATCACCTGCTACCTGATCCTTTTCATTAGATATGCCAAGAAAACCAGTGGACAAATTCTGTCAGTGACTCTGGACCAGGCCCTTGCATCAGTTTCCCCTGGTTAGTGTCGTTAGTCATGCATCGCCTTGATTCTTCTGATCTTGTGATTGCTTCCCATGAGTAACTTGGTTTGCTCCTGAGAACTCCACTCAAGGCATTTCCATGGTCCTGTTGAATGATTGCTTTCTTGGGATGCTTGGGAATAAAGCGTTTCATTTATTTTTAGAGCAGTGAGTCACTAGCCAGAGGTATTTCATAGAATCATAGGACAGAATAGAGTTGGAAGGGGCCAATAAGGCCAGCAGGTCCAACCCTTTGCTTAATGCATCAGTTTCTTTTACATAACATTTAATTACAGGGAAACAAAAGCTGAGCTGAACGGCTGGACACTGTGGAGCACTATGCAGAGCTTTTGGAAACCTTTTATTAGGTACAGCTGGAACTGCTGGATTACAACCTTGGTTTACAGCATGTGAGCTCTTCAGTCCTTCAGAACGGTGGAAGAAGTATCCTGGGCTTTGACTGCTTTGGTCCTCGCTCGCTGCAAGCCCAAGATACTCCTTAGAAGCACAGTGAGGAAAAACTGTGTCGTTGCTAACCCAAATGTCAGGTCATGCAGTGAGAGTGGAGGAAATGAAATTAAAGAGTGTAGCCTGTTTTGGGTGAACTTGATTGATGACCTGATTTGAACCTTTTCTGTGTGCTGCTGTCCCACATTCAGAGCTGCTGTAGTCATAAGGATAACATTCTGCTAATTTTGAAAACAAAAGCTGAGCTTCTTAAGGTAGTCACAGTATAAATTGCTTATTTGGGTATAGCAGGTGATTATGTTTTCCCTAGGTTTCTTTCCCACACGATTCCAATATTCTCTTGAGAACAGGGCAGCAGGTTAGGCTGAGAAGGAGTACATTCAGCTGAGATTTGTGCCATCCAAGTGCACAAATGTGTGTTTCTGTCCCCCGATAGTCACCTCTTCAGGATCAATGCTGTGGGTGCCAGCTGCTCTGCAAGAACTGCAACCGTGGAATGTTCCTCTGTATGCAAGCCCTGCTGCGGACGGGATGTGTTCTAACTCTCTTTCTTGTCCTGCATAGGTGGTCTTTGGAAGGAAGTTAACATCCTTTTCCATGATAGCACTCAGCCAGTTACAGCACGAGAAGAAATATGACATCTATTTTACTGATGGAGAAGTTTATGCTCTCTATAGGTAACCCTTCTGTAGAGTACGCCGCTCGGGTAGATTGGCAGAGGGCCTAGTCAGAAAAGAAACAACTAGAAAACAGCCACAAAGATGCTTTTGGTGCCGAATGCTGATTTATGAAACTGTGGGGTTGACTTTGGATTAACAGTGACTATCTAAGGCCATTCTGACCTATGAGCTGAATGAATCAAGCCAGAGTTTTAAAGTGCCTCTATGTGAAAATTCATAGGCAATACCTCATGGGCTTGCAGAAGCTGGAGCGGGAGCAAAGCAAGATTTCTGCAGTCTGGAGGGAGGTTTTCAGTGCCCACACAGTGAAGAAGCAGATACAGGATGGTTGACACAAAATAATCTTTATGTAGAGTGTAATGTGTGGGTTTGCTTGCGTGCTTGTTTTTAAGTGCTGTTTACAAAGCATTGTTGCATTAACCTGCACAGTGGCTGTCTTCTTAAAGTGATACTTTTATTTAAATACATTTACATCATAGCTCACTTTTCTGCCAAAAAGGGATGTTCAAGGCAGCTCACAGTAAGAATCAAAATAAAATATGGCTCACAACCAAGCTACTTAGGTATTGTACCAAGAAGCATTAATGCCTGTATGAAAGATTAGAGCACCTCCAGAGGTGAAAGAGGAAACCTGCCAGGGAGGACATCCCTCAGTGTGTGACTTGTCCACTGGTGTCTTGCCCTCCCTAGGAAACTCTTGCAGCACGAATGCCCATTGTGCCCGAAGGCTGGACCTTTTGCTACCACTTTGGACTTGGAGCAGCACATGAGGAAGCAGCACGAACTCTTCTGCTGCAAGCTCTGTGTGAAACATCTCAAGGTGAGTAGCTGGGAGGTCCCCAGCGCACGGGGCATGGGCACAGCGGGGCTCCGGGAGCCCTCCGAAGTCCAGAAGGCACCTGACGCAGTGTAAGACCACATTTCTCCTGTGTTCCAGATCTTTACATACGAGCGCAAGTGGTACTCGCGCAAGGACCTTGCAGGGCACAGAATCCATGGGGATCCCGATGACACCTCTCACCGTGGCCACCCTCTGTGTAAATTTTGTGATGAGCGTTATTTGGATAATGACGAGTTACTGAAACATCTGAGAAGAGACCACTATTTCTGCCACTTCTGCGATTCTGATGGAGCACAGGAATACTATAGGTCTGTGAGCATGGCTGCATCTGAGTCTGTCCAGTGAATTTGCGTGCTGGGCCTTGACCGAAGATGCTGGGTGCATCTGGCGTCCTGCATTCCTGCCCCAACACGGTTCTTTCTGGCTGGGCGTGTGTGCCTGGTTGGTTTCATTAGGAAATGTGGGTGTTGAGGTCAGATGACACTGGGTTGCTGGCAGTCTCCGTGAGCAGCAGGTGCCACTGAGGCAGAACTGGCTGGAAGGGCAGAGGTCGCTTGCCCTGCCCTTGCGGCAGAACCCCAGGCTGAAAGCAGGCTGCTGCACACGTTACCTTGACGAGGAGCCGTGCTTGGGCGCCAAGGCTGGCTTCTCTTGGGAAGAGTCACAGGGACACTTTGGGGCATTTGCGTGCTCCGCAGCTGGCGGGGGAGAGCCAGCACCTCGTCCACCCTCCGTGGGAGCATCTCGCTTGATTGGCGACAGTGCAGCTGGTGACTGAGTAGAAGGCAGCTGTGGTGCAAAGCGGAGATGGGCTGAGTTCAGTCCTGCACCATCTGCTGATTTCTTACTAGAATCTCCCTGACTTGCCGGAGTTACAGAAATTGTGTGCACAGTTGGATTCTCTGGACAGTTATAGCATGGATGATGTAGATTCAAGGATCCTCTGTGTGTGCACTTGGAATGCTTTGTGGGACAGACAAAGGTCCCCAATTCTAAGATCTCTGCAAGAATCCCAGCAAATCAACTGATGTTCGGTGGAACCTCAGCAACTGGCCAGGGGTCACTCTTCTGCTCACCTTAAAATTTGGAGTGCCTCAGTTTTTCACTTCCTTTTTGCTAACATAAACTTGTATGAATTAAAAGTTTGGCTAACACAAATCTTGATGTATGCAGCGATTATGAATACCTCAGGGAACATTTCCGTGAGAAGCACTTCCTCTGTGAAGAAGGCCGATGCAGCACCGAGCAGTTCACTCATGCGTTCCGCAGCGAGATAGACTACAAAGCGCACAAGACGGCTTGTCACAGTAAAAACCGAGCGGAGGCCCGGCAGAACCGCCAGATTGACCTTCAGTTCAACTATGCACCAAGGCATCAGCGGAGAAATGAAGGTGTGTTTGTCCTGGGAAGACCTGAAGATGGGATGTGCGTTAATCTGGCAGTGGGTTAGCTGCTGTTTTAAAAAAAGAGCTTTGTCTCAGAATAAGGTTAACTTCTTGGTTAGCATTTAGCTGCAGGATTTTATTTCTCTGTGCTGGCTTTCCACGCCTCTGCATGCCTTAAAAAAAGAAAGCCCTGAAAAAGTTAGCTGGGTGATACTCAGCTGAGCTTGTGCACGGTCCCTTGTCTGCATGGGCCCAGGGTGCATGCCAGACTGCAACTTCATAGCCAGTTGCTAACTATTTTTATTAGGGTGGGTATGTGTGGAAGGCACGCTTTGCGGTGGAATCCTTGGGGGCTTAGGAGTGTTCAAGGGGTCTTGGTCTGACTTCACTTTTCCCAAAGGTGCAAGGCCCCTCAAAACAGCTCAGAGAATCACATAACATCCACCTGTTTGAGGGACAGCCCCTCAATTCTCTCCCTTCAAATAGGATTTTTGGGTTTTGGGGAAGATGTGGGAAGCCCCAGCTATCCTTTCCGTTCTTTGTTGTGGCCTCTGTGCATCACACAAATGGGTGCTGTGCCTGCACAGTGCCTAAGGCCGGAAAGATTGCAAAGCTTAACGGTTTTTGGCGGGAAAAACTCCACTCTCCTCCCCCCTAACGATATAAATGGAGTGGAGTGCCCGCCATTTTCCCAGTCTTCTTGCGACCGCCGTTCGCTGTGCCTCGAGCCTTTATCTCTTTGTCACTATTTGCCTATTGATCTTTCCTTGTTACTAGTTGTATAACTCCAAGTTTTTCCCTTCTTGTTTAAAGTTTTTCCCTTGTTTTACTCTTCAACCTCTACTATATATATATATATATATCTTACCCCTTTTTCTATCTACGTATTCTTATCCTCCTTCTTCCGATGGCACAGCGTGTGGCTTTCCCCAAGTGCTCGCAGTGTGGGTCTAAGATGCCTCCAACCGACCCACATGATCTGTGTCTCCTCTGCCTCGGAGGGGGTCACAGGACTGACAAATGCGGCCATTGCCAGGCCTCTACGAAGCAGGCATGCAAGAAACGCAAAAATTGCCTGCGAAAACTGCTGTGGGACCAGGCCCTCCTGCAGTCAGACCAACTGGCAGGCAGACCGACTCCAGCCGCTGCTTCTGCCGCCCCTCCGCCCGCCCATCGGCTGACGGTGCCCCGGTGATGGAGGCTCAGCGACCTTCTCCCCCTCACAAACAGAAGGAGAAGAGAAAGCATGGCAGATCCGAGAAGTCCTTGGGCCATAAGAAGCCCAAAAAGGACAAATCGGACAAACCCGCCCATAAATCTAAGAAGCCCGATCACCCGCGACACCGTGATTCAGGCTCGTCTGTACCATTGGTCCCGATGGCCGCCATGGTACCGACACCGATGGGTCCGGCCCTGCTCTACCCGGATCTCCCAGACGGGTTGTACGCTCAGTTCATATGTCTCCCAAGCAACCCGATGTACCGTTACGAGACTCCATTTCTGATGGGGAGATTCGTGACTGCCCTCCAGTGGTTCGCTCTTCATCTCCCCTGCTGTTGCCTGGGCCTCTCTCAAGACCAGTTTCCCAGCAAGCACAGTACCAGCGTCGCTCCTCTAGCCATTTTTTGGAGGGATGGGAACAACCCCGTCATGGAAGCCATCATGAGCCCCGAGATGACTACCCAGCTTATAGCTACTACCTGTCGGTTCGGGACTGTACTCTGTCCCCGGTACCAAGAGAGGCGGCGTCTCCTTCGAGACCAATGAGTCGGGGCACCCCAGCTTGCCAGTTGGGTCCTTTTCGAGCAGCCCACTGCAGTATGATATGGACTCAAAGGACTTCGAGGTGGCGTCAACTTCACCCGATGCAGCCGTCAAGACGCAAGGTCCCAGATAGCCAGAGGAACCTTATGTGACCTTCGCTGAACTGATGGCATGACTTGTCAGATCGCTAGAGATCGAGGCTCAACATCGCATCGATCCTAGCACTGACAAGTTCTACGATATTGTAAGGGGAGAGCAATCTGCTGCCATCATCCTACCCCTGACAATGACCCTCCAACAAGCGATGGTCCAACCCTGGGATTTTCCGACCCAATCCCAACCTACTTCTCGTTGGTATGAGGCAATGTATCGAGTTCGGGAACAGGATATAGCATTCCTCCTGCGCCACCCGATGCCGAACTCGATAGTGGTGGAATCATCCCAGGGTCGCGAATCGAGGGGTCATACTATGCCCACGACAAGGAGGGTCGTAAGATCGACATGCTGGCTCATCGGGTTTACGCCACTTCAGGACTTGGCCTCCGCATTTCGAATTGCGAAGCCACGCTGGCCCGGTACCAGTATTTCTTGATGCAGAAGCTGGACAACATCACCGCTTCTCTTCCGGACCAGCAGAGAGACCTGGCATGCGTATTCATAAAGAAGGCCATGCAGGTTTCGAGCCAGCAGCCAACTACGGCGAGGCACCATGTCGACTCGGACTCCAGGGCTCTGGTTGGTGCCATCTCTCTTTGTCGCCATGCTTGGCTTCAAGGATGCAACTTCTCGGATGAGACCAAACGCCGTATTGAAGAGATGCCATTTGACGGCTCCGGGTTGTTTCATGTACGGATGGATCACAAGCTGAAGTTCATCCACGAATCCAGGATAACTGCTCGTTGGATGGAAGTCCCAAGCCAAGTCCGACATAAGTGGTCCTGGTCCTGTCCATCCTACAGGTCACGCTGTACTCCCAGTTTCTGAACCGGCAACAGTTTCAGCCCCGTCAACAATGCCAGAAGCAGCACCAGCAATGGCGCTTCCAGCAAAACCGCCATCGCTTCGATTCTGACAAACGCCAGTGTTGACAGTCCGGGCGAACCTCTCCTCTTCTCCTTAACCCACCCTCCCCTCTCCCTTTTGGGGATCGACTGCAAAGTCGACTCCCCATTTGGGAGTCCATCACACCTGATCGGTGGGTTTTATCCATTATTCAGCTTGGCTATAGAATAGAATTCGACATCGTTCCCCCGTCGGGACCGATCCGATTTACACCTCACTCGTCGGTTCTCATAGACGAAGTTCAGCAATTACTTTGTAAAGGAGCGATCCAACAGCTTATGCGCTCTGACGAGCTCCACGGATTCTATTCAAGATATTTTACTGTCCCTAAGTGGGACGGTGGTCTTCGTCTGATTCTGGACCTACAAGACATTAATAGGTTCATCAAAACTAAGAAATTTCGGGTGACCACCCTTCAAAATATCCTTCCGTTGCTTAGGAGAGAGGATTGGTTCGCCTCCCTGGACTTGAGAGATGCCTACTTCCATATTTCTATCCATCCATCCCATAGGCATCTCCTACAATTTACGGTCGGTTCTGACTTATTCGAATTCAACATCCTCCCGTTTGGGCTAGCCACTGCCCCACGGGTTTTCACCAAGTGTATGGCCCCAGTGCGTGCACACCTGCAGCTTCAAGGTATTCAAGTGTACCCATATCTGGATGATAGTTTTCCTGTCTCGGGAAAGCCTTCTTTCAGCCTTGAGAATAACTTGTGCCCTTCTGGATGATTTAGGACTGTGCATTAACCATGAGAAATCACATGCCTTATCCCCTCACAGGTAATCGATTTCATTGGAGAGCGTCTCAACTCCACTCTAGCGAGAGCTTATCTTCTATTGGACCGACAGGACAATCTGTGCTCCTGGATCCATCGAATCCAAAGGGACAGAACTGTTCCAGCTCTTTCGATTCAGCAGCTCCTTGGTCACATGGCCGCTTCAGATACCACAGTTCCTGGCGCTCTTCAAAGCCCTCCGCTCTTTCGAGGACACTGTCCAGCCACACGTGGTTCAAGTTGCATCCGACAGCGTTGCCGCTGTATTTTATGTGAACGAGCAGGGTGGCATGAAACCCACTTCCCTGGCCCATCTAGCGATGCAGCTGTGGGACTGGTGCATCCCCAGGGACATAACTCTCCGGCAGTCCACCTAGCCAGTACCGACAACAAGGAGGCTGATGTTTCGAGTAGACAAATGTCAACAACTCACGAACGGGAGCTAGATCAATCAGCTTGCAGTCAACTTTTCCTCCAGTGGGGCTACCAGGACATAGATCTGTTCGCTACCCACAAGAACAGAGTATGCAGCACGTACTGTTCTCATGCTGGCATCAGGCCGAGTTCGACAGGAGATGCCCTAATGATCCCATGGTCCAACATGCTCTTCTACGCCTTCCCTCCAATCCCACTTATAACGAGGGTCATTTCCAAGATTGTCCACGACAGCACCACGGGGATTCTGATTACACCTTGGTGGCCTCGTCAGCCATGGTTCTCCACTCCCTTCCGGCTGTCCGGCAACACCTTTCTCCGCCTACCACTCATGCCACATTTGATAACCCAGCAAGATGGAGCTGTTCGCTACCCAGACCTCACCTCACTAAGTCTCACAGCTTGGCGAATTCAGTGAATAACGATACCGATTCGGTACCGACGATACCACGGTCTACTGTACTTGCCAGTTACGGTCCTGATACAACACTCCTTCCCTTGGGTCTGTTAGACCATTCATCGGGTTCTCCATCCCGACATCGAGCGTATTCTCTAATCTGCCTTAAGACCATCAGCGTGGAGATTGTATGCGGTGAAATGGCATCGGTTCTCCTCTTTCGCGGAATCCAACTCGTTTACCGCTTCCTCGGCTTCTGTTGACATCTTGCAGTTCCTCCGGGCACTACATCAGTCGGGACTTAAACCTTCTTCCATCAAGGTTTATCCAGCAGCTATCTCCCACTACCGTGTTCCAGTGCAAGGGGCCTCGGTGTTTTTCAGTCCATTATTCGAAGATTCATCAAGGGTTGCAAAATCTCCATCTGCCAATTCGTCCTGTCATGCCTACATGGAGCCTCTCAGTTGTCCTTCAAGCACTCACCAGAGCCCCCTTCGAACCTGTGGCAACTACCGATTCATGTCTCCTATCTTGGAAGACTGCCTTCCTCGTGGCCGTCACTTCGACTAGAAGAGCTAGCGAGCTCTGCGCGCTTTGGGTAGACCCTCCTTATCTGAACTTTCATAAAGAAAAAGTTGTTCTTCGCACCGATTCGACATTCTTGCCTAAAATTGTTACACCATTCCATATCAATCAGGACATTGTTCTGCCTGCCTGCCTTTTTTCCAGCACCTTCTACTCCGATTGAGCGATTATTGCATTCCCTCGATGTTCGCCGTTGCCTGGCTTTTTACAGACTGGGTACAGAATCCCTCTGCAAATCTAACCGCCTCTTTGTGAAATATTCGGACCACGATAAGGGTTCCCCTGTGAGCTCACAGAGACTTTCGAAATGGGTGGTGCAGACAATTGAGCTGGCATACCAACTTGCCAAAATTGACTTGCCTGTTATGCTCAGAGGTCATTCTACACGAGCGGTAGCAGCCTCCTTCGCCTTTGCTGCGGGGATCCCCAGTCAAGGCATTTGCAAAGCTGCGACATGGACTGCTCCTTGCACCTTTGCCAAGCATTACCGCCTTGATGTCCGTGCCAGACTGGACTGTTCCTATGGTCGAGCAGTCCTTTCCGCTGTCCTTCAATGATGACACCACCTGCCTCCAGGTCTGGTAAGCTTGTTAATCACCCATATGTGTGATGCACAGAGGCCACGATGAAGAAAGGCAGGTTGCTTACCTGTAACTGTCGTTCTTCTAGTGGCCATCTGTGCATTCTGTGCATTCACACAACCCACCTGCCGGCCCTGCTCGGTGTCGGTGAATGGGTTCTTTTTTTTCAGTACCATGTTTCTTTGTTATTCATGGTCCCATGCGAATTTTTTGCAGTATTTCTCGCTCCCACAAGGGGGTGAACGTCCGGTCTTCAGTAGACTGGGAAAATGGCGGGCACTTCGTTCCATTTATATCGTTAGTGGGGAGGGGAGCGGAGTTTTTCCCGCCAAAAACTGTTAAGCTTTGCAATCTTTCCGGCCTTAGGCACTGCGCAGGCACAGCACCCATATGTGTGAATGCACAGACGGCCACTCGAAGAACAACAAGGTAAGCAACCTGCCTTTTTGCAAGCTACCCTGAGTGGACAGCACTTTGGGAAGAGGGAAAATCTGGAAATGCCCAGTAGGGGAGGGGGCAAAGCTTGTGATTTAAAGGGACAAGTCTGCCTCCAAATGTGGAGGGGGGGGTCCCCAAATTTTAAAATTTCCCCTACTGCTAGCAAGGAGCGGGGAAGCCTTTCTCGGTTGTTCCCACTTCGGTCCTCAGTGAAGCTGGAACCAACCTCCTGCTGTCCAGCTGCAGCTTGAATGCCTTCCGTGTGGGAGAGCTCAGCACCTCCCAAGGTCATGGGTTCCATTGCTGCACAGCTCTCACAGTCAGGAAGTTCTTCCTGATGTCCAACCAGTATCTGGCTTCCTGGAACTTGAGCCACTTATTCCATGTTCTGCAATCTGGGATGATGGCGAAGAGGTCCTCATCCTCTTCTGTGTGACATTCTTTCAAGTACTAGCATAGCTTCCCTCCTCTTGAGGCTAACCATGCCCACTTCTTTCAATATCTCCTCATCGGCTTTGTTTTCAGTCCCCTGATCATTTCTGTTGCTCTCCTATGAAACTTTTCTAGAATTTGGGCACAGAACTCCAGCTGAGGCCTGGGTAGAGGGAACTAGAGCTCCACATGATTTGAAAGTGACACTTCTATTAATGTAGCCTAAAATAGCGTTGGCTTTTTTTGCAGGCACATCTCACTGTTGACTCATATGCAACATCTGCTCCGCAGCATTTCCAAGACCCTTCTCTGCTGTAGTCATGTATCCCCCCGTCTTGTATCTCTGCATTTAGTTTCTTTTTTCTATGTGCAGAACTGGATATTTACCCCTGTTGCTTTTCATTTGGTTCATTTTAGCACAACACTTAAGAAGATCATGTTGAACTTTGTTGCTGTAATAGCTGTTCTGCACAGTGTTGTGGTGGGCAAACCTGAGAGGCAGCCCCTGTTCCTTCTCGTCCAGAGTGTTAATGAAAATGTTGACAGGCACTGGCCTTGGCTGTGGCTCGTTTTGCTGTCTGGTTTTGGGCCACACAGCAAGTCATAGTGGGTATATTGAGACCTCCTACAAACCATGACTAGCTGGGATGGTTTATAAGGGTAGACCACCTTATGCAGAGAGCGCTGGTTCAGACGGCACGCTGGACAACCATGGCTTAATGTGTTGTGCAAACCCCAGTCACTGAATGCAAAATGTGTCCTTTTCAGTATCTTGGCTTTGTTTTTGAAAAGTTCAAGTTTAGAACCCTTGACAGGCTCTGCTGGTTTTGGGGATTTGCTTGGAGGCCAGAGGTGGTGTGGCTGAACGACTTTTGCATGAGTTAAAGTGTGGAGTTTCAATTCTTCTCCCTATGACTTGGAGGCACAGAAAACACAAACATTGACTTATTATGGACAGACTTCAGCTCTCCTTTGTGTAACCTTTCGAAACTCTTTTTGACAGTTCTGCCATCTGTCTGTCTGGAATTTTCTTGAGAGCCTTTAAGGACTAGATTTGGCAATTCACTTTGGGGAACATGCAGTTCATCTCTGCCTTATCAAATGATATCCAGCGGGGTAGTGTCAACCATATTAATTGGGGTATGCTGGGAGTTGTAGTAACATTTTCTGTCCAGACATGCACAGACTTGTGCCATAATAAGATTAATAATAATAATAATATAATAATAATAATCAGACACATTGAACTCAGTAAACCTTACAAGCAGATTTGCATGTGATTGCACTATTAGGTATATCAGTGAAGAATTGATACCCTTGGCTGTTCTAATCCTGGATGCTTTTTTCTTTGTCCCAATACTATTGTAATATGTACAGTGCTTTCAAAGAGAAGTATGATCACACAACCTCTCAGCCTTCTGCTGCTTTGCCCTGTATGTCAAGAACCCTTCTTTTGCTTTATTTTACATATATTTTTCTTTTTTGTGTTTCGTTTATGTTCAGAAAATTTTAAAAAATTAAAAAAGGACCCCTCTTTTGCAATTAAGAGGATCAGATAAAATTTTGAGTGCTTTATGTCAAGGTAAATACTTCTCTGTGTTATGATGGTTTGCAAGGTCCCTCTATATAGCCATGGTATCTCAATGGGGCCTTTAAGTTCAGAGGCAGTATGCTAGTGAACACTGGGCACCAGAGAACGAAGGCAGATTGTGGTTGCGTTTCCATGCTGTTGAGTGGAGCGTGTCTTCATGCTGGAGGGGTCTGGCTGGCGGTTGTGGGAAGCAAGGCATTAGAGAAGACGGCCTGTTGGTCTCCTTAGGCAGGTCTCTAGCTTTTTTATTTATTGCATTTAAATCCTGCTGTTTCCCTGTGTGGAACCCATGGAGGGTCAGAACATTCTCCTCTTCACAGCAACCCTGGAAAATAGCTTAGGCTAGAGCACAGTGACTAGTCCAAAGTGTACTTCATGGCCACATGGAGACGAGAACCCGGATCACTTGAGACCTAGCCTGACGTTCTAACCACTGGGCCACACTGGCTCTCCCAGTTGTTGGAGTACAAGTTCCCTAACCTTACTATTGTAATTTTATACTGTGTAAGCCGTCCTGAGTGCTTGTGCAGAAGGACGGGATACAAATGTTTGTAATTAATTAATTAATGTTTGTGATTGATTGATTGATAGATAGTTAGTTAGTTAGTTAGTTAGTTAGTTAGTTAGTTAGTTAGTGGTGGATACATACCCATGAGAAAAGAACCATTTGAGCTGATTTACCTTGTTTCTCCCCTGGCAGGTGTTGTGAGTGGTGAAGACTATGAGGAGGTGGAGAGGTATCACAGACAGGTGAGAGGAGGCAGGACAGGCCTACGAGGAGGGCAGCAGAACAGGAGAGGCAGCTGGAGGTACAAGAGGTAAGGGACATGGCTAGCCTGTGGGTCTCTGCCTTGAAGGCAGGAAGCAGGAAATGTAGATGCTGAGCAGCATAGGGGGCACTGTGGAGCCCTGCAGTACTCCATGGCACAGTTGCTGTGGCGCAGAGCCATACTCCCCACGCAACACCGTCTGGAATTGGCCGGCCACTTGGAACGCCTCTGGCTGCCAACTCAGCCAGCCTATCCAGAAGGGCACCATGTCGATGGTATGAAAAGCCGCTGATTGGTCCAGAAGAACCAACAGGAACATCCTTCTCCCAGTACTGGTTATCCCACATGGCAACTCAGGCTGTTTCTGTACGAACCCAGGCCTGAAACCAGGCTGAAATGGATCAAGTTTCCTCCAAGGGTGCCCGGAGCTGCTGTGCCACCTCCTGCTTGAGCACCTTGCCCAAGCAGGGGATGTTGGCCCCATCTTCTGGATCCAGGTCACCATCTCTAAAGGAGCTGGGACTATTTTTTCATTCCACTGTAATGTCACTAGGACTAACCCTTGCCTGTAGCGTTCTGGTAACATGCCTGTAGCGAAAAGGAGATGCTGTCCCAGAGAATGCCTCCCTTCCCTTCTCTGATTCATGTTACCTGTGCTATTCAAAAATTCTGTAGGGAAGAAGAAGACCGAGACATTGCTGCAGCAGTCAGAGCATCAATCGCTGCCAAAAGGCAGGAAGAGAAGAAACGGGGGGAGGACAAAGAGGAGAGCATCCGCACAAAGAAGGAAGATGTGAAAGATGTAGACTTGAAGCGAGGACCAAAGTCTGCAGGTGAAGCACCAGGTGAGCCACCTCTTTGGCCAGGAAGACTGGTGGGCTTCAGTTTAAGATGGGGGGGGGGCAGTCCCTCAGTTGCCTTCTGCATAGTTGAAGGATGCTTGCCTTGCTGGGATAAAGCCCTTGAAGGTTTCCAGAAGGATCCTCTTAGTTAGTTCTGCCTCTCTTCTTCTCCCAAGTTTCCAAGGAAGCTGTTCCAAAGACTGTTTTAACCCAAGATGACTTTCCTGCAATTGGCTCACCAGCAGGAGGTTCTGTGCAAAGGTGAGTGTTTGATTTCCTAGAGCAGCAGTGGCCAGGTGGTCATAGCACTGTCCAGGCACTGGTCTGACACAGATGTGTGGGAACTGTCCATCCACAGCGTCCTCCCAAGGAAAAGGGCCTTTGGGGTAGTCCCTGAATTTGGGTTCCCCTGCCAAGTCCACCACCACTTCTGGTTCCTGCCTCCAAAATAAGGCTACTTTCTTCATTCACGCTGGGCCAGCCCTGAAGCATCAGCGAACGTGCTAGACAGTAACTTTGGTGAAGGCATTTTCTGTGCTTACTGAAGGGAAAACAGCCCTATTTTCTGTCTATGTTGTTTCAGCTCTGAAGCCCATGGGTGGGGGCGGGTTTCTAGCACTTGTCCACTTGAATGAGGAAAAAGCTCACCCTCCATGTTCGAAAGTGAGTCCCTCTGTGGTTTACCATGATTTGTGCTGAGGCTTACACTACACGCTGTTGCTTTTGCAGCTTGCCCCAGCCCACATTAGTCAAGCTGGACGAAGAGGACTTTCCAAGTCTCTCCCCTGCGCCCCCCGTGGTCACCTCTGCAATGTCCTTGGCATACACAGCCACGGCCAAGAAGGCAGCCTTTCAGGAGGAGGACTTCCCTGCCTTGGTATCCAAAGTCCGCCCAAACAGTAAGATGGTGTCGAGTCTCACCTCGGCATGGAGCTGCGATTCCAGTAAAAGCAAGGTCAGAGCCGTTGCGGCCAGCAGCCCTGCGGTCAGCCAGCCGGCCAGGAAAGCAGCCGCCGCCAACAGCAGCAAGGGGAGCAGAAAGTGCAAGGCCGCGCTGCCCACCGATGAGCAGGACAGCAACGGTGGCGGGCTGACCTCCCAGGAGATCCGTAGCGCTCCAACCATGGTTGATGTTTCCTCTTTGTTGGCTGCCTCAAACTCTCAAACGTTTATTAAAGTGGGCAAGAAGAAGAAAGTTGGAGCCGAGAAGCCAAGAACAGCGTCACCACCCTTGTCACAGGAGCTTGTCCTCCCTCCCCCTTCGGGAGAGAAGGCACCAGACGCTGAGCACTCAGCAGACTTTTCTGCCAGCACGGCTGTGCCAGAGCGAGCGGCAGCCATTTTGAACGGACACTCAGAGAAACCTTTAGCTACGTGTAACGCTTCCAAAGAGCCCCCTGGCCTTAAGAAGCCCCTAGCGGCTAGCCAGTCCCTGCTGCTTCAGAAAGACTTCCCAGCCCTTGGAGGCTCTGGACCACCTCGGATGCCTCCGCCCCCAGGTAATTGCTGGAGATTTTCTCAGAGTGCCCAGTGCCTGAGAAGCCCACAGTTGTGTGTGCATGTCTGTGCTGCCTCTGCCGGTTTGCAAAAGGTGGTCTCCGAGAAACTCGGCATGCAGTAATACGAGAAATAACACTTTGTAGCTCTTACGGCTGCAGTGCTACGCTGGACAGCGTTTGAATGATGGTTGGATGGAACCTTGAAGTGCGGAAGCTGGTTGAACAAGATTCAGTTGCGGGAGCTGAGTTTTCAATTGCCATACATCAGGCTAAGGGCAATTTTCTAGGGCACATCTGAGCATATAGGGAGGGCCCTACTGTGTACTGGAGCTGAGAGGTGGTATCCAAAAGGCCTGAATTTTGCAGCTGTTTGCTGCTGAAAATATCCAAATTCTGTGATGCACACAAACTAAATGGATCAAGCAATTAGTACTATTTGTTTTGGTTTTGGTAGTCACCTCAGAGGCAGTGTAGGAGCTGTGCAGACCACCAAAGCCCCTCTCCCAATTCCTGGGTGACGGAATTTCTCCACGTGGCCCTGCTTGCCAGTACGCATTGAAACTGGTGCTTGCACTGTTTTTTTAAACCTACCTGCCTGGAGAGACTTCTTTGATGCTGTCTCTTTCCCACCCTCCGAGTGACTTTGTCTCCAACTCTTGGTGTGTCCCTGGACAAGGTGCCCTTAGGAGCAGGCCTTCTCTGGGTGGGCTCCCCACCGCCACCACTGCCCACGTCCGGAGCCCTCCGTCTTGGCCTCAACTGCACGGCGGGCTGGAGGGAGAGCACAAGGAAGGCAGAAGAGGCTGCTCACCCCTCACTCTTGTTTCTGCTCCGTGCCTGGAGCAGCAGGGAAGATGGGAGCCAGCCAGGGGATGAGCAGAGGTCCTGGTGCAGGGGCGGGAGCCTCGGCGGATGCCAGCAGTTCCGATTCCTGGTTTGCAGTCTGATCTCTAGGGCAGGCCTGCGAGGCCCGTGAGACTGAGACCCAGTGGTCCGCTTGAGGCCGCCTGCGTGCTTCACTGCCGCTGTCGTTCATTCCATTTCTGTCCCACCCAGTGGGGGAAGCTCTCTGGGGTGCCGGGGCTGAGTCAGGTGAAGCGTCCCTTAGCACTGAACCAGCCCGCTGGCTCCTCTGGCCAAATGCCTTTTACTCTGACAGAGCAGCTCTCCAAGGCCTGTCCTGCCCCGCTGCTGCAGTCTTGTGACTGGGGAGCCGCACACAGACAGCACCTGCTCTGCCGGTGAGCTGCCACCTGACTCGCTGGCGCGGCCTTGGTCAGTGAAAGCGAAGTAGGCTTCTCGGAATGAGAGGCAGGTGCCCGTTCCTCGCAGAAGAGCCATGGCTGAGGGACAGGTGGGCGCACCATCGCTGCCGGGTCTGACTTGCCTTTTTCCCTTCCATCCCTCAGGCTTTAATTCTGTGGCACTAAATAACACCCCCTTGCCGCCTCCAGGGCTGTCAGTGCCCCTTGGTAAGCCGCCCCCTGGCTTCACTCCTATTCTACCCACCAGTATCTCTGAAGCTGCCCCCACTCCTGCGAAAGAGTAAGTAGAACGCCTGGGGCTGTGAGCTCTCCCCAGCTGGGGGCCTTCTAGACGTGCTGGGCTGCTACTCCTCTCGCCCCCAGGTGGCCTAACCAGGCCAGCCGAGAGTGATTTGGGGTTGCGATCGAACACGGGGCGGGCAGCCAGCTGGGGAAGGCCAGTGTGGGGCAAGTAAAGGTAGGGATTTAGTTTCTGCCCTCCGTGGGGTGTGGAACCCCTAATGTGCTGCAGTAGAGGTTGGGTGGACAGAAAGAAGGGTGAGCACAGTGAGCTGTGCCAGGCACAGCCTTCTCTGGGTTGGGTCCTTGAGGTCATGGGGGGCACTTGGAGCAGCTGCCAGCCTTTCCTCCGCATCAGAAGAGCTGCTTCCTGTGCCAAATTTAGGAACAGCTCACTGGAGCAACCACTTCCAAAGAGGCTCAAGATGGTATGAGGCCAGTAGCCTCGTGTGCTCATCCGGTGCCTTTGGGAGTCTTTAGCAAGCACCTGTTCTTGAACACCTTCAGGGATCCTTCAGGTGTTTTTCTTCCCTCCTCAAATAGGCCAAAACCTTATCAGGGACCCTACTTGATATTGGAAAATTTCCAGCAGCGGAACATCCAGCTAATACAGTCAATCAAGGAATTTCTACAAGAGGATGAATCTCAGTTCAACAAATTCAAGACATACTCGGGACAGTTCAGGCAGGTGAGTAGTGGGGGGGGCTCCCTCTTGCCAGGTGGCCACAAGGTGGCCAGCTGATTGCTACGGGTTCTTCGCGTGGCCAACCCTATTTCTGGGACTGGGGAGGGCATTTCCATTCATGAACTTAACGTGCAGCCTCATAATATCTTGTTGGTGCTCTTCATGGCAAGGGAAAGTTGGCCTGCAAGGTATGTCTTGAACCTACTGAAACCCCAAATTTGAATATTCCCTACATTAGATGACACTGAAGTATATGGATATATCAGCGGCAAAGCATACCAAATGCAGGAATGCACACTGCCTCATAGCCACTTCCCGTTACCAGTAACAAACCCTTGAACAGTCTTTACTGTTGCACTCAAAGCCGGGAAATTGGAGGTGTTTTTATGGTAAACCATCCCAAGTGACCCTGAGAATAAATCTTGGATCAGCTTGGGGTTGTTTAACCCAGAAAACAACTTTGTGCTTTAATACATTTGCTTTGCGAGATTAGTTTTTGGAGCCTGGGCATTTGTCTCGATTCCGCTTTCTGTTTCAGACCTAGGGACTCCAGAGCGTTTCCTATCATGAGCCTTTTCTTTGTCTTTCCCAGAATGGACGTAAGGCCGACTGGCCTGCGATTCCCCATGTCTCTTCTGCTACCCTTTTTGAAGACTGGGGCACGAACTCCACATGAGATGGCTGCGGGCACTTGCATTGCTTCTGCTGTCCCGTTTCTGACTGCCTCTCTTCCTCACCCCACAGGGCCTGATTTCCGCAGTTCAATATTACAAATGCTGCCAGGAGCTCCTGGGCGAGAACTTTGGGAAGATCTTCAGTGAGCTGCTGGTGCTGCTGCCTGACACAGCCAAGCAGCAGGAACTGCTTGCTGCTCACCAGGACCTGAAGGACCAGCCCGGTGCCACCCCTTCCTCTTCTGGCAAATCCCGGAAGAACAAAAAGACGGTCTGGCAGAAAGAGCTGCCTTCCGACCTGGACTACTGTGTATGCGGCACCTGCCAACAGGTGCTGTCGCAGCAGGACCTGGCTTCGCACGAGGCCCTGCACTCGGAGGACGACGAGTTTCCATCCTTGCAAGCCATTCGGCGGAACATCAAGTAGCTGACTGTCCCAGGTGACCAATAAAAGCAGTCTCCACCTTAAAATTGCGCTTCTTGGAAAGTGGGCTCTCTGCAGAGAGGGCAGCTGGCTCTGTGGGGGCCGAACAGGGTCTGTGGGGGCTGAGGATGAGAGGCGTTGCCGGGTGAAGAGATTGCTGGGTGAGGCTCTTGCAGAAACCTGGCAGGGATTCAGAGGAAGCTGGACTGGAAGGTTCAGGTGTCTGCCACCACAGTTGAGGAGTTACCTGGTTTCTGATAACGACACACATGGAAATGGGTGGTTGGTTTTGCCATGGAGACACTTTTAGGCCACTAGACGGGGCTCCAAAGCCATTGCCAGTGGGATGCCATTTGTATAGGCTGGCAAGGAGAGGAGGGAGTGAGCGTGCTGGGGGAGGGTGCTGGTGGCGTGCGGGCCTCGCTGCCCTCCCCCATCTCCTGCCTGACCCCTCCCCAACTCTTGGCAGTCCAGTTAGTTCTTTCCATCGGCCAGAATGGGCTCTCCCAAAGAATCGCACCTGGAATTTGAAGCTAACCTTAAGCCTTTTTCTGCCCAGCCTATGTTTCTTGAAAAGAAATCCCAAATGTTTTCTTGTTACAGCTGCATGTAGGACAAAAAATCACTGCTTTATGTCTCATTGTAAATGTACATTTCTACCCCAGTGGTGCAAATTCAGCTATTTCCAGTGTCCTTGAGGAATGTATGCTGGCCGAGATCCACCAGCAGTTGGCTTATTAAACTCTGCTCCATGTTGACCATCCCATGCTGCCGTTTGATGCCTTGCAGCCCTGTCTCCTGTGGGTTTTCTGAAGGGGAGCAATAGCCCCGGGGGCTGGTTCTGAACCCTCGTGGCAGCATCTCGCACACGATGTATGGCTGACTGGCATCGATGAATTATTCCTTATTCCCGGGGAAGGAGTGCAAAATTCCTTCTTCAAATCATCCTGAGCAGAATGAGTTTCTTCGGTAGCTCCATTGGGAGCTTTCTGGGTGGGCGCTTTGGTAGGGACAAACTCTCGTCAGAATCAGAGATGGCGCATAACTTTTCTGTTAATTACAGGAGTAGGAATTACAAGTGCTTTCCATTGAGCAAGTGACAAGCAAGTGTCGGCAGAGCTCTCCTTTGCCCAAATATTATTATTATTATTATTATTGTTATTGTTATTATTATTATTATTACATTTCTATGCTGCCCCTTGCCGAAACCTCGGGGCGGCTTACAACACGATAAAATACATTGAAATACAATAGCACATAATAAATTACCATTAAATACAAAAATACAAAAAATACATTGATTTACAAATATAAGATTAAAATAATCAGTATAAAATAAAAATATAGGAGGAGAAAGAGAAGGAAGAAGAAGTTGCCCTGGCCAGATCATATGTTTTAACAATTAAAATGATGTTTAAATAAAACGGTCTTTACCTGGCGCCGAAAAACCAGTAACGACGGTGCCAGCCGGACCTCTTTGGGGAGTGAATTCCATAGGTTGGGTGCCACCGCAGAGAAAGCCCTCCTCCGAGTACTTACTCTCCTAATTTCTTTCATGGAGGGTTCCCGGAGAAGGGACTCTCCCGCGGATCTCAAAGGGCGGTCGGGCATATACGGACGTAAGCGCTCGTTCAGGTAGCCAGGACCCAAGCCGTTTAGGGCTTTATAGGTCATAATCAACACCTTGAATTGGGCCCGGGCTTCAATGGGAAGCCAGTGAAGCTGACGGAGGACTGGAGTCATGTGAGCATAATGCCCCGTCCCCGTCAGCAACCTGGCAGCTCTATTTTGCACCAATTGAAGTGTTCGGACTGTCTTCAGGGGAAGCCCCACGTAAAGCGCGTTACAGAAGTCAAGGCGGGAAGTCACCAGCGCGTGTGTCACCGTCGCCAGGCAGTCGAACTCCAGGTAGGGGCGCAGCTGATTAATCAGCCGAAGCTGAAGGAAGGCGTTCCTCGCCACCGCTGTCACCTGAGCTTTCAAGGAAAGCTCCGGGTCGAGGAGTACTCCTAAGCTGCGGACCTTAATAAAGAACATCCCTGTGCTGAGGAATCTTAAGGGATCAGAGGACAGGCAGCTTAGAACCTGCTGTTTTGCAAGATTAGGGAGCGGTTATTCGGTCATAGCAATTTCTTTCTGCCTGAAGTCTGAAGCAGAAGTGGCCAGCATCCCTTCGACCACTTGCAAGATGTTCACCATCGTGGCCTCTCTTAGTTGGGGCCGTTGTAACTGCTCAAGTTATTGACAACCGTGGCCTTTCACTTCTGCCATGACAAAGATTTCAAACATTAAACCACAAGTTCCTCTGCTACCATCTCCCTGCCCTTAAGTATAAAAACCTCGGGTCCAATTCAGCAGGAATTCTTCTGCACAAGCCCTGCAATACAGAGTTCATCTCTGCACTGCCATCATCCATCTCACTGGGGCTTGTGCAAGAGAACTTCCCAAGAGATTGTACTCGGGTTTTTCAGGAAAGGTTGCCTTATTTTGTCATTTTTGCATGTAGATGTGACAAGGAACACATGAATTACGGCTTTTTGGTCATAAGGATTATAGTTCTCAGCCAAGCATGTGTTAAGTTGACCTTTTAGAGTGCTTAAGAATTTAAGGATCTCCAGGTATTTGCTGCGCCCACGGAAAAGAAAAGAAAGCTTGGTCTGCCGGCCTTCCTCCTGAAATGGGGGTGCCCATTGGCCTTGCAGCCCCCCAGTTTAGCCAGACCTATGAAAGGGGCTTGCACATGCTGACCTTCCATGTACCTGAGAATCAGGTATGCCTGTGCCCACATCTCCTTTTCAGGTCTTCATCCGGACAGCGGGTGCAGGGCCACCCCTTCTACGGCATGTGGATCTCTGAGCCTCTTGTGTAGGTTGCAGTGGAGCTAAAACCAGAACGCACCATCCAGTTTCCATACTGGTTCTCTGGCATGCCCACACCTCTTCTGTGCCCAAGCTCCCACTTAACATACACATGGGCTTGCAAGTGCCTCTGCTGGAGTCCCTGAGGAGCTTCCTGCCATGAAGCTGGAAGCTGAGCACCAACCAACCGCTGTGCCCTGTGCTCTTCCGACTCACCTGGCCCCGCCTGGGCATCCTGAGGCTTCCTGCCCAGCTCCCCTTAATGGGACTGAAAGAAAGCCAAGCAGCCGTGGTTTTGCCCTGGCTTTCTGCATGCGATGGAAGACCCTGCAGCTGAACCTTCTGAAGCAGGACACAAATGACTCGGTCTTCCAAATAGGTCCATGATGCATTTTGATGGTTTATCATGGTCCCCTGTGACCCAGAAGGGCCAACAGGCAATTTTTTGAATTTTTGCGATTCTGAACTGCCACAGGTCAGCGGCATTCATTCGCCTGGTGAGCTGCTCAAACCACTCAGGAGTCTCTCCTCTCCCCCAGCAGTCTCCTTCCCCATTCAGTAAGTTATTAACCAAGACATGCTTTTTAAAATCTTTATTGGAAAATAAGTTGCAGTTGGAACACAGACAGTCAAGGGAACACAACCACAGATTAGCCATTTGTCTTTCCCAAAGGTGTATTTATCATTTATACATACAAAAGAACTGTAAGCATTTTAAAAAAAACTTGTTTCACATGGTCCACTTTACAAGCACAGGGCACACGGGATCACTGACAACTGCGACTTTTGGTTTTTGTAGCAGACAGCTTTTTGAAGAGAGGTATGTGCATGTTTGGTGTCTCATTAAATCTGTGCAAACAAGGTGAGGTCAACATGTTCATTGCGGCAGCAGACTTCAGGAAGCCAGAAGGGTGCTTGTCCGTCCCCGTGCCCCCCGCCCCGAAGGGCCTTTCTTCCTCTTCTGTGCCAGCCTGTACCCCCAGTATCCCCGAGCTTTGTGCTTTCCAGGGGCCGACTGGGCACGATGGCAACTGTAATCCAGCATATTGGGAAGGCACCGGTTTGGGGAAGGCTGCTCAGGGCAGTCTCTTAACAAGAGACAGGTGCACCGAGAAGCAGCACAAAGGCCGGCTTCCCTGCCTAACCCCCCTGCCCCCCATGTGTGGGTTTTTTTGCCAAAGAAGTTAAACAGCAAAGGGCTGTTCCTAAAGCCGCTTGGTTTGGAATGAGAGGGACCAAGTTGGAGTGAGCCTGAATATGGAATTAACCTGTTTCTACTCCTGCAGCATAAAGAGTTGGCAAACACTGAGTGAACAGCCTTAGTTCAAAGGTGGTGGTTAAGGGTGGCGGCCAGGGAAAGAGGAGCGATCCCGAAGAAGTTGCTGGATTTGTAAAGGCAGCCGAGAGGAGGCGGTGCCTCGATGCAGCTTAGTGTGGTTTCCAGCAGCTCTGAAGGCGGAAGAGCAAAGCTGGCTTCAGCCACACCATGTTGCTCCTAGAGGTTCTGATAATGGCTACGGCACCCGTCTCAGCAAGCCTTGCCCAAAGCTTTGTGCCTTGCTGGGCGGATTGGAGGGAACAGCTGCCCAGGCCCAGGCCATGTCTGCACAGCAGCTTCCTGTGTTCCTTCTGGAGTGCTGACATGAGCCGGGGACCACCACCTGCTGCTGCTGCCGTCGCCAGGCACATAGTAAACCCACCACAGTCCTCTTACTGGGTGAAGCAGTTGGTCATTTGGCCTTTGGTGACCAGGAAGCCCTTGCTCCCAAAACCCGAGGAACTGCCCTATCTATGCGGAACAGTATTGCTCTTCCTTCCTCAAGGGGTTAAGTTTGGGCTTCAAGCATAAAACAGAGAAGCCAGAATTGGAGCGCTTTGCCTGGGTGCCAAGGAGCCTTTCTGAGGCTGTGCTGGGTGCAGCCTTTGTGACAAGCAGCTTGTCGAACGTAATCCCAACCAAGCACCAGTGCTTTGCACGCTGGCACTCGCCAGGCCCTCCACAGGCACAAGAGGGTTCTGCCACCTTGGCAAAGCTGGCCAGCCCCACATTGTAACAGTGGCCACAGCCTGGGTAGCCATGCTGGCCGCGTTCATAGATTCCGAGCATGAAAAGCAACATGAGAGGTGAGAAGGAGGCGCGGTTGCCAAGCATGGGAAGGGCACTGATACAGGGCAATGAAATCATGCATGATTCATTAGCGGCTCTTACCAATGACTTTGCTGCATATGCTGACGCATCTGTTAAGAAGTTACCATTGCATGATTAACTATCGCCATGATGAAGACACAGAAATAGTACTGAGAATGCTTTACCAAACTTCCAACAATGGGTTTTTATTGCATGTTGGTGGCAGCAGCCCAAATTCAGTGACTGGCTCCATCGCTTGGTGGAACATACTGCTCGGCACGATAGTTCCAGCACAGTCTGCAACCCGGTGAGCAAGCTGCAGCCTCCAGCCACAACTTGTGGATGGCCAGAGGCTAAAGAGATGCTCCCCTCCCCCGCCACCATTCTTGTGGCTGTAGAAAACAGGCCATTTCTGAGCGGACTGATGGGCAGGCCTCCTTCTCTCCAGTCAGCTCCTCAAAAGCTGCCAGGTGGCCGCTCACCTTTCGGTGCACGCAAGGTGCTCCCGCCTCTCCCTGCTGCTTGCGAGAGTTGCTCTTCCTTCCCTTCTGCAACTGCCACAAGCTGCGCGATGGCAGGGGCTGCCTGGGCAGCGCCAGGGCTAGCCAGGCTCCGGTTAGCACCTTCTGAATGGTTCCTGGAGTAAGTAAACCCCGCTAAGTGACTGCCTTGCCTCCTAGAACATGTGTAAGGGGCCCTTGTGAAATACACGTATCAGCACCATTTCACAGGAAACATGAGAGGGCTCTCCTTGCCCCGCCCTTCTGACACTGGAGGGAAGCCAAGCCAAGGCGACGGGCATGGTGCCTTGCGGAGCATTTCCTGGCACTGCATGCAAGAGCACAGCAAAACTTGATGGGGAGCGGAACCGGGGTGTGGGGGGGACTCTGACAGGGACATGCAGAGACATTCACTGGTTTATCTCTGGTTTGGTCTGATTCACTGGTTTATCTGCGGCCATTAATTTTTATACCTGCAACCTCATCCTGGTGATAACATAGGCAAGAGTATCGAAAAGAGCTCCATCAGCATTCAGCTTGTAACTTTCAGTGGTTGCTGCATCTCATTTTCAGCATAAGAAAGAAATAACCACATGAGAATTAGGGGAGAATGTGGCTTCTCTACTGTGTTAAAGAGAGAGTGTCAGTTTTGGTCATTCAAACATGTTTGGTTTGCCTAGAATGGCCCATTTAGTATTTTATTGGCAGCTTGGAATATTGCCTTCTTCCTTAGTCTCTCTGAGATCACGGAACAATCACATACGTCCGCTGAAATGTCAGTCTTCTTTCGTATAGGCAAAGCTGCTCTCTTTTCCCGCTTTGAATGAATTGTTCACATTTCCATCCCCAAAAGTTCCATTTTACACTAAATGTGGGCGAGGATCATCCCACGACAAAGGCATCTGCTCCTGCTATTTCTGCCAGAGGCAAGGCTGCAAAGCAGGCGCACCCCGAGGCAGAGAGACAACCTTTGAGGGTGGCTAGTTGAGCCAGAGGTATCTCACAACTACCCACCCCCAGCAGAGGCTGCTGGACCAAGACCAGGGCTGTGGCTTACTCAGAGACGCAGCAAACAACCTCTTCTATGGGGACCTGGGGTGCTTCGCACCCACCTGGCACACTGGGCAGCCTGCAAGAGGAACTCTGCGGCAAAGGCCTTCCGACCTCTGCCGATAAAAGTTCGGTCTTTCATCCCTACTGAATTTGCTGAAAGTTGTTGTGATCATTTTGCAGGCTGGGCACAGAGGGGCTGAATTCGACACTCCATACCTTTGCTTGAATAACCGTGGGAAAGGGAGGGGGGGCCTTAGTGACCGTGCCCCCTTCCCAGCCTTTTATACAACACATATCCTGCCCACAGCCTTCTAAAAACAATAGCTAGGGAAAGGAGGGTCATCAGAGGTAACGTGGGCACCCTGTATGTCGCTTACTGTGGGTTTGTACTGACTTGTAATCTTTGTACAACTGATTGTGTTAGCCATCTTGAACATGCTGATGAAAAGATGGTTTTGCAGATCAAATGGGAAAGCCCCAGGCTTCCACTGTGAAGGCCGGAAGAAAGGCGCCTGCCAAAGTGCCCCGTGACTGAGTTTAGGAACAAGATGTGAGCACCTCGGCAGCTGCCTGAAGATCCCCACCTGTCCGTGCCTCGGGCAGAAGCAGCTGCGGGCAGCAGCCTGAGTCCCGAAGGGCCGATTTGGTCACTGCAGCATGAACAGGCAGCTCTCGTGCAGCTCCCATTCACTTCAGCGGGTGTACCCAGGAGCACGTCTGTTTCAATCATGCAAGGCTGCCATTTTGAATGTTCTGCCCCGGGTACTGACCCGTCTGGGTCAGCCCTAAGTCCTGGGCGATGCAGCTTCATGCAAACCATTAAGCCAATTCCTTCAGTGTCCCCTCCAATTTGGGAAGGTTCAAAGGGGTAGAAAAGGAAAAGGATACATAAGAAGGCATCAGATGCATACATTCAAAATTGTAATACAGAGCACACTAACGCTACTGACCAAGACAGTTGGACGGAGCATAATCTCTCTCTTCTGTTAATACAGTTAATACAAGGATATTTTGGAATTGATGGTTTTATAGTTAGAAAAAATACACTGTACTGAACAAACATTTATTTCACATGTACAATCAATTTAAGGAAACATGTATATGTATTCTAGCTTTTTGTTTTCTAAAATACGTAACACAACTTTGTGTGCTGCTAAAATACCAGTGTTCTCTCTAAGGAAAACGGGACTGCAGTTTGACTGCTAGCCTGCAGTAAATCACCATCTCTACAGGGTTAAACCCCACGTGGGTCTTTGTCCATAAGACTGGCTCGATCACTTCGCACTGCAAAATCTGGAACACTTGAGGCTGAAAGAGGACAGCACCCGATTTAGCCGTCTCTGTTAAAATATGGCGTGTCAAACCTCTGGGGTTTGCATACGGATAGCTCCTGGCATGCACAGATCTCTCTTGAGTTGGGGGCCATCTCTTCTAAGCGGGATTTCTGAGATCAATTTCTGCCACTGAAAAATGTGCCCAAACTCCCTTACAGAGGAGTGTGGGGCAAATCCCAGCCATTACGGTGCATGTTACACCAGCATGTTTAAAAGGAAGAAAGGACAGTCCTCTTAACAGGACACTGGTACTTAAAAGGGCCAGCAGGAAGAAGATTTTGGTGTCACTGGCATCAAAGGAGTTTGCCAAATGGCTGCACACAGGTAGCGGCAGATGCTTTTGCTAGTTTCGTGAGCGCCGTTTTGGCGGAAATGGCCTGGCAGGACAGGTACCTATCCTGCGGTCATTGCAGCTGCTGTTCTCAACCCATGTTTTCTCTTCCATCTTGACATGTCACCTTCTTGTGTGAAGGGATGAGCTTGTGGACTGCAACCCACACAAGGCGGAAGGAGCTGGCCGGGCACAATGCCGGTGCTCCGTTCCCCACTTCTCTGAGTGGTCGGTTTTCTGAAGGCAAGGATCTGATTTAAGCCTAAAGAAGTAGAACTGTTGACATATTGAAGCCATCTGAAAAACGCAACCTGTGATATCAAAATCACAACACGAATGTGTGGCATCCATCCACCCATTCAGAGCAGGAACTGTATGTGCACACACAAACACACATCAAGGAAAACAACACGATCCTTGTCTCTTTTTCCTGTTCTGTTTTGGCACATTCCTTTGAAGGGGCCTCTTCTGGGCCTCTAAGGGGGAAAGACTGGGCAAGATGTCACGGCAGGTCCAGAGGAGGACTGTGCCGACTGGTTTTGGAGTAAGCCCTGGAAGCACGAGATAATGCGCCTACTCGTCGGGAGAGACGGTGTGGGGTCTCCGACAGGCCAACTGATGCCCTCTGCCGCATGCGCTTTCAGTGGAACGCCGCATCAGCTCACGGGATGAGCACGGCAACCAGCACAGCTTTTCACGCTTAGAGGGAACACTTGATATATTGAATATGAAAAGCATCCTTGGACAGGCAAGACAAGAACCAACACCACTGTATAGAATTCACTGCACCATTAGCTAAGAGTAAATTTAACCCAGCACATAACTTGCCACATGGAAAAAAAGTACTTTTGAATACATTTGCAACCCACCAGTTGACTGTACTGTACCACAGGAGGGGATCTGGCCCATTCGCTGGGCTCTGCGCCCACTTGTGTGGCAGCTTCACGGGGAGGCGCCGCCTCCTCAGTACGCCGGCACCGGGTAGCCTTTGGGACTGGTGTCGAGGGTCTCGGAGAAAGGCGGGCTCTGATAGGTTTCCGTGCTCTCAACTCCACTGCCTGTTGGGTAGCCAGCACTGGGGTCAGTGGGAAACTGATCCGTGGCAAAGAGAGACATATCAGTTCCCATTCGGTATCTCTGGAGGGCCTTAACAGTCAGGGCGACCTTGAAAGGAAAAGAAACGGCAGAGTACAGTGCCTGCACATGAGGGGGCACTGCCCCAGGCCCTCCCACCAAACCACTCGGAGGCCCCACCCAGCCCATGGCCCAGTGGCCTTCGTGGCCCCTTCTGGCTCTACTCTTCCATGAGTCTATGAAAGGCTGCAGACCATGGGCACGCCTGGCGATCTGAGGAGGTGTCCCTGGCGCCAGCACAACATGGCTGTCCGGAGCGGCACGGCAAAGACCAGGTGGGCAGCGCACAAGAAGCAGAGGAGGGTGGAGCCAGAACTAAGACGAGAAAGAGGTCTGTTGTCCCTCAGGGAACTTGTTTCCCAGCAACCCCAGCTGCACGGGGGATCGGGGTGCTGCTGCTTTTTAAGGGGGAGAGGTAAAATTCTCCCGGCACCATCTCGATTTTCCCTTCGGCGCCAGGCAAAGACGTATCTTCTTAGGAATTTTTTTAACATTTAGCCTGTATGCTGTGTCCCCTTTTCATTGTTTTTATGGATGTCTAATTGATTATGTTTTAACTGGCTTTTAATGTGTTTTTACTGTCGGTATGTTTTACATTGCAAGTCACCTAGGAAGGCCTCGGCCTATAAATATATGTAAATGAGTAAATAAAACCCCCTGGCCGGCCCCAGGCAACCCGTCTGGAGCACATGGGCGCCTGCGGCCCCTCACTGCCCCGCACGGTCCTCTTCCTAGCAGTGCCTGTCCAGATGTTTCCAGAAAGTGTGCAAGGAAGGGGTGAGGGAAAGAGCCCCCTGTCCCCCACATCTGCCCCTTTCCCACCCATCTACAATTTCCAAAAGAGGAGGATGCACTGAATGAAGATGCTTCGAGAAGAATCGTCAGTAAATTCTGCATCCTGACAGGGCAAGCTAAGTCCCTGGAAAACCTGCAAGAAGGCAGGTGAAGTTTGGGGGCGCACGGCAGGGAAGGTTGAGCCAGGGACCGGGGCTCCGCACTGAGTCTCCAGTCATCGCAAGTTCAGGACAACGGCCACAGAACACTGTGCAAGCTAAGAAGCTTTGGGGAAGTGGCTGGCCCAGAGGCACGGCTGAACAGGACGTGGAGACGCAGCCCCTGAAACCTACCCAGGAGATGATGGAGAAGAAAGAAAAGGCTATGGCCGCTCGGGCAGCGTCACCTCCTTGTGTTGCCCCCTGGCTGGGTGGTGTCCGCTGCCACTGGTTGGCCAGGAAGCAGAAAGCCACAAACCACAGGAAGGACCAAAAGCCTGTAAAACAGAAAAGCCCGTCACTCCCTCCAGGTGGCTTGCGGTGCTCGTGCAGCTCCGTCCGGTTGCTGGCCTAGCCGTTTCCCTCCCTGCTCGCTCCTGCCTGGGCCTTTGGCCATGCATTTGCTTGTATCAGTCTAGCATTCTGCTTTCATCCTTCTGCTATGCACCATTTGAGGGGCAATGATAAAAGAATGGCATACAGGCAAGTTTATTTGTGGTGATTATGATTTTGGGCAGCCCCATGATATGCAGAAAAATGAGCAGACAAAGCCTTTGCCAGGACAGAGAGGCTGCACAGCGATGTTTTCAAGGCACGGAGGCCACACCAAAAGAAATTATCTGCCCTGTGCACGTCTGTTTGCCAGGACCTGGAGAGCACTGCCAGGCAGAGGAGAAGGCACGGAGCTGGATGAGCCAATAATCTGGGGACCCAAAGTTGCCAAAAGGGTCTTGGATGAAAAGGGAGTTCTCTTGTTGAGACCTTGCAGCAGTGCTCTTCAAAGAAAACCAAAGGGAGAGGGCTAGCTGGACGAGTGATCTAACCCAGAGGAAGACAGCTTGATAAGCCAATCATTTGTTCCAGTGGTGCGACAAGATAATAGCAAAGAAATTTGTTGGTTTCATGGCATATCACTCACTGAAGTGTTTCAGTCATTAAAAGCAGAGATGGAAAACAGTCTAGTAATATCTGAGGCTTATCCCACTTGCTCCAAAAACTACTCAACAATGTCATTGTTCAGATCCCATCTAAACGAATTCAGCCAACCATCTGCCAAACCCCCTGGCCAAAAATGGACTCTGCCTCCCTCCCCCTCGGGCAGCCAGTGCCTGATGGTGCAGTGCCCCCACCCAGTCAGGAAGCACCCTCAGACGCTTGGCCCGGATTGTTCCAGCTTCCACCTTGCCCTGCTTCAGTTAGTGCAAAGGATGTCCAACCCCCGAACTGGTTCACTCAACCCTCACTGGATCTGGAAGACATGCACCAAGCCTTCCCCATGCTCGCACTGCCCCAGCAGACCCTGTATCCCCTAAGCAAACCCCTCTGCCCTGCGCCAAGGGGCCCACCTGAGAAGCCGAGGTCCAAAAGCACCACACGCTTCCTGTCTTTCACACTGCTGATCTGCTGGAAATGCAGGTCAACCACCAGAAAGAAGCTGCAGGCCAAGAACGCGATGATGCCGACGGCAACTCCGTAGCTGCAGGCGCCCTCGTGGCTGTTGTAGATGCATCGCAGCACCGGGGACTTGTCTGTGTTGACGTAGCCCTCGTTGACGATGGAGCCGAAGACGACGATGGAGAAGATCTGGGCAGAGGGTTGGGGAGGGGAGGGAGAGGAACAGCTGTGCTCAGAGGAGCCCCCACCTCCCACCAAGAGATGCTGAGGGAGACGTGCTGACAGCACCCATCAGGCCCCTGGGTCAATACTGCCCCCAGCTGCGGGGTCACGCTGCGTCCACACGCATTCCCGCTCCTGAGAGGCAGACTGTGGGAATCGGGAGCCATCTCCAGGGGCGGCTGGAGGCTCCAGAGCCGGGGTGGGGGGTGTGGGGGGGGCTGCTTCTGCACTCCGGGCCACAGTATGAGCTTTTAGGGGCAAGGGTGCCATTTTGGGGCCAGGCACCTTGACAGTTCAGATGTGCCAAAGTGGCTGCATTGTCCCCAGCATATGACAAATGAGCCCACGGAAGTGGTGAGGACAAACTGCGGCAGGTGGGTCCTCCAGAAGTTGCTGAGCAGCAGCTCCCACTGGCCTGGGCAGCCTAGCTGAGGAGAGGAGAGGAGAGGAGAGGAGAGGAGAGGAGAGGAGAGGAGAGGAGAGGAGAGTCGGATGGGGCCTGGGAGGCCTGGAGGGTGGCCTGCGCTCGGCGCAGGACTCCAACTAAAGCATCCCCGGCCACGGCTGTCCAGCTGCCTCCAGAGTGCCCATGACTGCCGTCTCAGATCCCTCCCTGCCACTGCTCGGAGGTTGTGATGACACACCATGGGAATCGTCCCAGGATCAAGCCTGCTGCTGCAGCCCTTGATGCTGCGGCGGGCTCATGCCGACTCTCTCTCCAAGGAAGGGGGGCCTCTGCCCCTCCCCGCAGGCTCTCAGGGAGATGAATGCATGGGGCAAAGGGGCCGTGGCAGAAGTGCCTCGCCTAATCGAGCCCCCTTTGGGGCTGGGGAGGCCAGGGAGCGTTGGGCAGGGGCAGGAGCATTCGGCTGGCGGGAGAGGGGAGCCGCACGGCCAGGGAGAGGCTGCTAAGGTCCGCCAGGGACCGGGCAGTGCAAGAGCGGACTTTGCCAGGATGCAAGGCCGGAAGGAGCGGGGAGCGTGGAAACCAGCCAGGAGCCCACGTGCTCGGCAGGCTGAGGCAAAGTCCACAGCGCAGGGCTGCTGGCCGGGCATGTGAAGCTACCCGTGGCCGCTCGCCGCTCCCGGCCGGGGCTGTCTCAGGGCTTTGCCAGGCACCGAAGCGAACCTGGCAGGCTGCCAAGTCCTGACCCCCTTTCACTTCGGGTCCAATGAGCACTTCTGAGGAACTTGTTTCAGGGCAGGGACAATGTGGCACTTAATCATGAAGTTTTTTCTGAAAACGTAATTGTTTCACTTGCATGTCTGGTCTGTTCTGCTGCGCCACCTAGGGCCGCACAGCAGGAAGGCAGAAAACGAAGTTCAGCGCTTGATCAGCGACAAAACTGGAAGTAGATACGGAGGATTCGCATGCGATTAGCAGCCTTGTGCAGAATAGCTGTACGTGAGAATCCCAGTCTACCAGTGAAGATGAGAGTTGTTGGACAGTTCCCAACAATTACTACTGTAACGGCATAAAATAAAAATATGACCAAATAAATCTCAGCAGTAGTGCAAACCTTTAAAAAACAGGAATGTGTTTAAAACAACATAAATGGATCCACCTGGGTAAAAGAGAAATGTTGCAGCTGCGCTGGTTTTGAAAATCCATCTCAGAGGAGAGATCGGAACTGGCGCAAGTGCTCACCATTTTTACCATGAGAACTGTTGCATTTCACAAAATCAAAGCGAATGGCAAAACGCCGGAAACCTACTCAGACAAACCCATTAGAATCAGCACTAGTTAACTCGAGAGCGTCGAACAGCAACGCCATGCCAAGCAAGCACTGCAATAACTATGCGTAACATACACACAATCCCAAATAGTCTTCACAACACTCCTGCAGGACAGGCCAGTATTGCTGTCTTTGTATTCCAGGGAGGGCCCAGGCCGAGAGGATGCATCACCTGAGGTTGCCTGAGAGAGCAGAGCAGGGCCACCTGGCACACCGCTCAGGTGGTGGCTCCATCCCATCCCGCTTCAGCACCCAGGCAAGCGCATCCAGCATTTTGCGTAGAAATGAAACCATGCACTCATCATGGGCGTGATCTGGCAATATGGCTCACTCCATGTTCAGCAAGAAGCACATGAGCATCACATAACGGCTCCTTCTAGCTTATGAGACCTGAAGGTGGGATGGAGTCAGCAGAAGATGCTCTAGGACACAGGGAAAATCCAAAAAGTGCGGAGCTAAGATGGGCACAGGATGACACTGAGGACATGCGCATTGGTGCTTTGTTGCTGTCGGTAGAAAATTTAGAGCCAGCGTGGCACTGAGGTTAGGAGTGCGGGCCTGGGTCTCAGGCGACCCGGGTTCGAGTCCCCACCCAGTCATGGAGCCAAGTGGGTGCCTTCAGACCAGCCACAGCCTCTCAGCCCAGCCCACCTTGCAGGGTTGTTGTTGTGGGGCTAAGACTGAGAGCAGCAGGAAGAGAATGATGTAAGCCGGTTTGCGTTCATAAGAAAAAAGTAGGACATAAAAATGAATGAATGAATGAATGAATGAATGAATGGGTCAAACAGCCTCCTCTCATCATCACGCCTGGTACCCAGGCCTGAAAGGGAGGAAGGCACCTCCCCTCGTCTGTCCCCGGTGGAACGTCTGAACCACCTGAGGAAGAGAACAGGCACAGGAATCACTCCTGCTCTGAGGGCAGCGGAAGGAAAACCTGCCCAGGAGAAGCTGCATGTAGGCGGCTCTGGATCAGGGGCAGCGGCCTGCTGGGCACCCAGAGGGCATCTGGCTCAGTCCCAGCCTCTCCAGGAAGGGATCCTGCCAGAAGCCGCAAGCGTGGCTGCCAGGCAGTGCCCCCAGAACTGTGCTTGGTGAACCGAGGCCCTGCGCCATGACAGCCTCAGCACCGCCACTTTTATTCCTGGCTTGTCTTTCTCTCGGTCCAGGAAGCCACACAGCTTCTCCCCCAGCACCATGCTCCAAATGCGCCCTGTCGGCATTCTTCACAGTCCAGCCTTCGCACTCGCACATTGTGACTGGCCAGCTGCTTCTCTTATGGGGTGGGGATTAGCAGGGCTCTGCTCTTGCAAGGTCTGCAGCTGGGGCTGCTCCTTCCTCCTGAGCAGACCTGGGCAAAGGGCTCTTCTGGTGGCCAGCAAACACCGCGCTGGTTTGTGTGTGTCCCCCGCCTGCTCCGGAGAGCCATCGGGTGAGAGAAAAGAGGGCACGATGCAGGATGGGTTGAAGGGGATTCTGGGCTGGAGGAGCTCAAGGAAGGCTCTCCGGCGGTGCGAGAACTGTGCAGCGGCCCAGCATTTTCGGTGGGAGTGAGGTTTGCCCGGGAGCTGCAGCCACCGCCTCCTGGACTCAGTGAAGCCAGCGGATGGACGCAGCTGCAGCATTCACTTCCAGGACCCACAGGCGGAGGTGCGATGGGAAAGGCTGACTCTCTGCCACTTTGCGAGGCCCACCCAGAGAAGATTCTTCCTTCACAACCGGCAACCAAGGAAGAGTCTGCCAGACCTGCTTCATCCTGTCTTCCCACAGAGAAATGCCAGCCACCCTCGGCTCAGGCCGAGCGACACAACATTCCATCCAGCTCTGGATGCAGAAGGAGGCTGCCTCCTCGGCACCCACCAGGCCCACCGCCCCCGGCCCTCTCGTCTGTTCCAAGGCAGGAGCACCTCCACATGCAGCCCTGCGCACATCCCTGGGCCCCCTCACACCACTGAGCCACCCGGCCCACGTTCCATGGTCCTGGGTTGGAAGCACCGGGAGAGCCCAGAAGCCGCCTGCAGAGCGATGGGTGCCCGCGAGGCCTGGCCCTGCCTTGGCACCTCTGAGGCACATGCAGGGGTTGCCTGGAAAGCAAGGGTGAGCCGGCCGTCAGTGCTGCACACCAGAACTGGGGGCGGCATTTCCGTTCCCCGAGCCGTGGGTGGCAGGGCTGCCTTTCTTTGCAGGCAGCGAACGCAGCTCCCCACCAACACGAAGGCATATCACAAAGACCAGACGCCCTAAGAGTGAGCGCCTGGGAGACTTCCAGATGCTACCTCCTTCAACCACAAAGGCCCTCGCCAGCACAGCTGCCAGCGAGGGGTGATGGGAGTCGTAGGTCAAAACATCCAGAGCACCCCATGTTTCTACACCACAGGACAGGCGAAGATGCCAATTCTGCCTCCGTATCCATTCTGGAAACAAGCGGGGCCAAACAGCAGCAGGCACACCCTCCTGCGGGACTTGGGTGGCAACACAGGCAGTCACCTGCCTTCGAAGGGCCCAGACAGGGCCAGGCTGGGACCTGCAAGGGCGACAGCCAAACGCCAGTGAGGTGGGGCATGTCCGTCTCCTAGGACAGTCCGAGGCTGTCCTGAAGACAGTCGTTCTCAAGATCGTAATGTCAAGGGGGAAACTGCTAAACTGGGACTTACCTCCACTGAGGCATGAATCAAGAGAGCAGTAACTTGTCCCTTTAGGCGCGTTAAATAACTTAGTAATTAACTAATTAAATACTGCTTGCATAGAATTGCCACCCCCACCTGGCATCTCATGCCCATTGCCTCCGTCATTCCCTGCTGTCTCCAGGACCAGATGGATACCGGTCCGGTGGGCAGGATGAAGTGGGATCCAGCCCAGGCCAACATGCCGTGGCAGATCTGTTGCTCGTCAAGGTGTCCTTTAACATGAAGCTTTCACGAAAACCTTTTCACTGCTGCAGAGTAAAGCTGCAAGTCAGTGGTGAGGGAAAGCACTATGGATGTGCTCAGATGGGGAGGGCAGGGCAGGGCAGGGCAGGGCAGGGGAGGGGGGGTGGGGGGGCGGGAGAGGCCTGACATCAAAAGTAGTGTCCAGAATTGATGCCTAGCTCAAATTAGTTCAAATTAGGCCCTGGGCCCAGTCTTCCCCTTATTTTTTCTCATGAATCCTCTTTTTCTGTTGTTCATTACTTTGCCTCTCATGGTCTCTATTGCAATAGACATTGTAAGCTCCCTGGAGCAGGGAGCTATTTGATAGGGTATCATCACTGCCTTGTCATGGTGAAGGGGCTAGTGTAGCTCAATGAAGCTGTGAGGTCTGCCGTGCAGGGCCACCCAAGATGGACAGGTCATAGCAGAGAGCTCTGACAAAACGTGATCCACTGGAGAAGGAAATGGCAACCCACTCCAGTATCCTTGCCATGAAAACCCCAAGGATAGCACCAAAAGGCAGAAAGATATGACGCCGGAAGACGAGCCCCTCAGGTTGGAAGGTGTCCAATGTGCTACTGGGGAAGAGCGGAGGGCTAGTACTAGTAGCGCCAGAAAGAATGAAGCGACTGGGTCAAAGCCGAAAGGACACTCAGTTGCTGATGTATCTGGTGGTGAAAAGAGAGTCCGATGCTGCAAAGATCTATATTCTATAGGAACCTGGAATGTAAGATGCATGAATCAAGGCAAGCTGGACGTGGTCAAACAAGAGATGCCAAGACTGAACATCGACATCTGAGGAATCAGTGAACTAAAATGGACAGGAATGGGTGAATTTAATTCAGATGACCATCAGGTATACTACTGTGGGCAAGAATCCCTCAGAAGAAGTGGAGTAGCCTTCATAGTCAATAAAAGAGTAGGAAAAGCAGTACTGGGATACAATCTCCAAAATGAAAGAATGGTCTCAGTTCGAATCCAAGGCAAACCATTCAACATCACAGTAGTCCAAGTCTATGCCCCAACCACTGGTGCTGAAGAGGCAGAAGTTGACCAGTTCTGTGAAGGCCTATAACACCTTCTAGAATTAACACCCAAAAATCATGTCCTTATCATCATGGGGGATTGGAATGCTAAAGTAGGAAGCCAAAAGATAACTGGAATAACAGGCAAGTTTGGCTTTGGAGTACAAAATGAAGCAGGGCACAGGCTGGTAGAATTCTGTCAAGAGAATACGATGGTCATAGCAAACACTCTTCCAACAACCCAAGAGACGACTCTACACATGGACATCACCAGACGGTCAACACAGAAATCAGATTGACTATGTGCTCTGTAGCCAAAGATGGAGAAGCTCTATACAGTCAGTAAAAACTAGACCAGGAGCTGACTGTGGCTCAGATCATGAGCTTCTTGTTGCAAAATTTAGGCTTAAATTGAAGAAAGTAGGGAAAAGCACTAGGCCACTCAGGTATGACCTAAATCATATTCCTGATGAATATACAGGAGAGGTGACAAATACATTTAAGAAATTAGATCAGATAGAGTGCCTGGAGGTTCGCAGCATTGTACAAGAGGTAGCAACTAAAACCATCCCAAAGAAAAAGAAATGCAAGAAAGCAAAATGGCTGTCTGAGGAAGCTTTACAAATAGCTGAGGAAAGAAGGGAAGCGAAAGGCAAAGGAGAAAGAGAAAGATACAAACAATTGAATGCAGAATTCCAAAGAACAGCTAGAAGAGATAAGAATGCCTTCTTAAATTAACAGTGCAAAGAAACAGAAGAAAACAATAGAGAGGACCAGAGATCTCTTCAAGAAAACTGGAGATATGAAAGGAATATTTCATGCAAAGATGGGCATGATAAAGGACCAAAATGGCAGGGACCTAACAGAGGCAGAAAAGATTAAGAAGCGGTGGCAAGATTACACAGAAGAACTATGCAAGAAAGAGCTTAACGTCCCCGATAACCACGATGGGGTGGTCACTGACCTCGAGCCAGACGTCCTGGAATGTGAAGTCAAATGGGTCTTAGGAAGTCTGAGCAACAACAAAGCTAGTGGAGGCGACAGTATTCCAGCTGAGCTATTCAAAATCTTAAAAGACGATGCAGTAAAAGTGCTACACTCAATATGCCATCAAATTTGGAAAACTCAACAGTGGCCACAGGATTGGAAAAGGTCAGTCTATATTCCAATTCCAAAGAAGGGCAATACCAAAGAATGTTCTAACTACCGCACCATTGCACTCATTTCACATGCTAGCAAAGTGATGCTCAAAATCCTACAAGCTAGGCTCCAGCGGTATGTGGACTGAGAACTACCAGAAGCACAGGCAGGATTTCGAAGAGGCAGAGGAACTAGAGATCAAATTGCCAACATACGCTGGATCATGGAGAAAGCTAGGGAGTTCCTGAAAAACATCTACTTCTGCTTCATTGGCTATGTTAAAGCCTTTGATTGTGTGGATCACAACAAACTGTGGCAAGTTCTTAAAGAGATGGGAGTACCAGACCATCGTTTTTGTCTCTTGAGAAACCTGTATGCAGGTCAAGAAGCAACAGTGAGAACTGGACATGGAACCACTAATTGGTTCAAAATTGGGAAAGGAGTTCGGCAAGGCTGTATACTGTCACCCTGCCTATTTAACTTATATGCAGAGCACATCATGAGAAAGACGGGGCTAGATGAATCACAAGTTGGAATTAAAATTGCCGGAAGAAATATCAACATCCTCAGATATGTAGATGATACCAGTCTAATGGCAGAAAGTGAAGAGGAACTAAAGAGCCTCTTGACGTGGGTGAAGGAGGAGAGCACAAAAGTTGACTTGAAACTCAACATTAAGAAAACTAAGATCATTGCATCCGATCCAGGAAGAAATGGAGGTTGTGACAGATTTTATCTTCCTGGGCTCCAAGATCACCACAGACGGGGACTGCAGCCAAGAAATTAAAAGACACTTGCTCCTGGGGAGGAAAGCTATGGGCAAATCTAGACAGCATACTAAAAAGCAGAGACATCCCCCTGCCAACAAAAGTGTGTGTAGTCAAGGCTATGGTTTTCCCAGTTGCAATGTATGGCTGTGAAAGCTGGACCATAAGGAAGGCTGAACGCCAAAGGATTGAGGCCTTTGAATTGTGGTGCTGGAGGAGACGCCTGTGAGTTCCTTGGACCACAAGGCAATCAAACCGGTCAGTCATAGAGGAGATCAACCCTGACTGCCCTTTAGAAGGCCAGATCCTGAAGATGAAACTCAAATACTTTGGCCACCTAATGAGAAGGAAGGACTCCCTGGAGAAGAGCCTGATGCTGGGAACAATTGAGGGCAAAAGAAGAAGGGGACGGCAGAGGATGAGGTGGCTGGATGGAGTCACTGAAGCAGTCGGTGTGAGCTTGAGTGAACTCCAGGGGATGGTGGAGGACAGGAAGGCCTGGAGGAATGTTGTCCATGGGGTTGCAATGGGTCAGATGCAACTTCGCAACCAATAATAACATCATTGGATACATAAGAACATGAGAAAGGCCCTGCTGGCTCAGGCCAAGGTCCACCCAGTTCAGCATCCTGTTCACACATGGGCCAAACAGCTGCACGTGGGAAACCTGCGAGAGCATACAAGTGTGAGAGGACCCTCCGGCAGGTTGCAGAGGGGGGAAGCACACTACAAGGGCTGGCATGGGGCCCATGGACTCGCAGCGTAGGGAGGGAGGAATTCTCCCGGTCCACTTTCTCCACACGAGGCATAATTTGCACTCCTCTGCCATGTCTCCCCTGACCTGCCTTTTTTTCTAGGCTAAATAACTCCAGATAGCGCACCCTTTCCTCGTGGGCATGAGCTTCAACCATGCCATCCTGAGCTGCCCCTCCCAGCTCGACAGCATCCTTTCCCGAAGCCTGCCCAAGGTGCCTTTGGGGCGGAAGAGTGGCTAAAAGGGGGGGGGGGGCACCAAGCGCAGGGCCCCGGCCGTGCCCGAGGCCCCTGGGCCGGCCAGGAGGCGCGCCTCCCTGCCCCGAGGCGCTCCCGGGGGCAGCCCCACATGCACGCTCTGCAGACGCGCCTGCTGACGAGGGCCGCCCGCGAAGGGCAAGCGCGGCGCGGGAAGGAGGGCTGCCGAGCCGGGGCCGCGGCCGCGGCCGCTGCGCGGGCCCGCTTGCGCCTCGAGCGCGATCCCGGAAGATAGGCGCCACGTGCGCACCGGGGTGCGCGCTTGCACCGCGCGCAAAGGGCGCTGTCGGCGCTCTCTGCCCCGCCGCCCCCCCGCGGGCTGTCCAGGCCCAGGCCAGCGGCGAGACGCTCCCCGGCCCGGTCCAAGCCCGGGAGGCGGCGTGCCCATCTCTCGCCTCCGCGACGGGCAGGCAGAGCGCCCGCAGGGCCGAGCGGCGCCGGCCCGATCCCGGGGCGAGGGCGGGAGCGGCTCCTGGTCGCCGCCCGGCAGAGCCCCAGCCGCCTCCGGCTGCGCGGCCCCGCGGGACCCTCCCGCCCTTGCTCCGAGGCGCAGAGTGGCCGCGGCGGAGCAGAGGCGGGGGGCGAACACGCACCTTCCGCGGCAACCGCGGTTGCGGACAGCCGGAGGCGCTCCGTCCCGGGGCGCGGAGGAGCGGGCCACCCGCTCCGGGGCCACGCCGGCCCCCCCCGCCCCCCCCACCCCCCGCAGCACAGCTTCCCGCTTCCAGGCACGCGTCCCGGACCGCCCCACCCGGCGGGGCTCGTGCCC